ATTTAGGATTATCATTTAATAAATCAGTTATGAATTGTGATTGAGTAAAGTTGTTTCTCCTATATTTGGTCAAATGAGGCACAATTTTGTGAAATACTAATTCTTAGTTCTCTATTGAATTCTTTCCAAAAAATACCATAATTTAAAGAATACATTCTAATAATTACAAAATCAGTTTAGCTAAATGTTATTAATATTATTAAAAACTAGTAGGTGCTTCTTTAAATAAAAATACAGATCTATTATTAACTATCATAATCATACAAGATAACATTAATTCATTCATAGAATCAAATCCTCCTACATGTTTGAATATTCTTTATTTTATTTTCATTCTTTAATTATCACCAGCATTTTCTTAAAAAACATCAATAATTTTTTTAATTAATTTTAAATTTTTTTAGAAATTAGTTTCATTTCTACCATTTAATTTTTAAGGAGTATCTAATTATAACCATGCTTAACAATTTGGAATATTTCTTTTTAATTTATTTAATAGTCTTGACCATTTTTTATAAAAAGCAATTGTTTCCATAGATACAACAACTTATAATTCTGTTAAATTTTAAACTAAATCAAATCTTTAACTAGAATATTTTTCAATTAATTCAACAATTTTATTTGATAATTTTGCATCTGTTGAAAAAAACAATGACAATATTAATGTTTCATAAAATGGTCTATCAAGAATTATATCAAAGTTTCTTACAGTCTAAAATTTTTCAGAATATTCTTTCATAATAGAAATTTAATCAACATCTTATCCTACTTCAATTCCTAATTCTGGTAATAAATCAGTATATGTATGTTTATCTTCCAAATTACTTACTTAATATGGAACAAATTATTATTTAAAGAAATCAATTGCATTATCAATTAAAAAATCTTATCTCATTCCTAACATCAATATAAAGATTTCACAAATTTCCATTTTAATTTAAACTTCATATTATGTAAATTAATCTTCTTATTTAATTGAAAAAGTTTTATTCGAGCATTTATCTAATATCTTTTTTAATTATTTAACTTTTCTAAATAATGGATCATTTGTGATTTCCATTTCAATATCCTAATGAATTATTTTTCTTTCTTTTTTAGATTTCTCTGCACCATCCAATAAATTCATCATATCTAGATTAATATTACCCAAATTAGCTAAATCATCAAATGCATTTTTTTTCTTTTTTTCATCTCTTTTAAGTTTATTTTCAATATATTTTCTTTAAACATTAGCATTATCTAAAGCTTAATTATATTATTCATCATATTCTAATAATTAAGCTAATAATTATATAATTTATTCAATTTCTGAATTCTTAATCTATTTTTCAATTTCTCTCATAATTGCTTATGATTTCTTTGTATGTTAATTTGGTGGTTTCATATATTCTTAATTAAAAAAACCAAATTAAAATATTAATTTAACAATTTAAATAACTTCTAAAGTCAATATATTATAAATTAATCTTCTTTATTTTAAGGTTGTTAATTTTTAAGCAGATTCTTAAATATGTTAAATTAAAATTTTAATTAATGATTATAAAAACTTTTTAACTTCTTCTGATTCTTCTACTTCAGATTCATCTATAGCTTATTCTTTTTAAATTCTTTCCCAATTTATTTATTATTATTTTAATTTTTTAACTCTCATAGTTTAATATAAAATAGTATCTTTAGAAATCAATGGTTCTAATTAACGTTTTTAAATTTCTTCAAATGATACATAATTATTAGCATTCATTTTTAACATTGATAAAATACCACCATCTTATTTCAGTAATTTAGTTGTCAAAATTGATTTATCATAAATGATTTCTCTTACTAATTCTGGTCTTTTTTATGTTTAATAAGGTTCTTAATCTATATACAAAACTCTTATTAATTTTAAAAAGACTGCTCTTATTTCTTCTTTAAGATTAATATTCTCAACAAATGGTAATGTTTTATTAAATAAAAATGTTTATTAAAATGTTTTACAAGCTAAAGTATTTCTACTTAAACATAAATTTGCTATTAAATTTAATTCATTTTTTATATATTCAAATTATCTTTAATAATTAGATCCAGTTTCTAATCTTGGATCATCAAAAAAATCTAAAAATTTAATAGTTACTGGTTAATCATTTTTATCTTAACAAGTAAGTAATAAATCTCCAAATTTATATGTTAATTTCATAAAAGCATGATTATAAATAGCCTTATTTTCAAAGAATGCTCTATATATTAAATTTTAATTAACAAAAACTGGTGATTCTTAAGATTAACATACAGTAGCCAATAAATATATTATATCTGGTTTAGAGAAAGGAGGAAATTCAAGTAATTTTAAAATAATTGCTTATAATGAATTACTTTCATTTTTTTATTATTTTTCCTTTTCTTTTTATTTTTCTGCTTATTCTTTTAATTTTTATTATTCTTTTTCTTTTTCTCTCTATAATTCAATTTCTTTCTAAGAAACCCTATCTCTACTTTTATTTTAAGTCATTGATAAATTAGATTAATCTACTACTTTGTTTTAATCAACTTACAATTAAGACTTATCTTATGATGCTGATTAATTATGGTTTTCATCTGAATTAGCCTTTTAAGGTATATTAATCATTGTTTTTGGTAATTACTATAAAATAGATTTAGTCTTGGATATAGAATTAGCTAATGTATCTACAATCTAATCTCCTAAACCTATATGATTATAAAAAATATTTAATAATTTCATCAAAGTTCTTTAATTACCTCTATTATCTTTACAGAAATCTTTAATTGTCATATATACTTTATATGATAAATAAATTTATCTTTTATTATGTCCATCTTCTAATTTAATTAGCATTCTTGGATGATGTCTAAGTGTATTACTTTATAAAAAAGATGATACACGAAATATAAAATCTTTTTCATCCATAAAATCATTTTTCATCGATTCAAACTTTTATGGATATTTTTCTATTATTTATCTATTTGGAAAACATCTAAATAACATCCAAACTAATAATATAAAAATATTTTATTCCCTTACTACATTTTATCTATTTGTTACAATATATGAATATTCTTATTTTGTACTAATATTAGAAATCAATTTATTATTAATAAATTCACAATACATATCCAACATTCTATCTAATTTTAAAAATATTGAATAGAAATGTAATTTACTTTTTACATCTTCATCATTATATGCTATCATACTATTAACAATATGTCTTTAATGTAATTTTTAAATATAATCTATTGCTTCTAAAAAGAATGGTAAACTATATTATAACATATAAGTTTCCCACATATCCGAAAAATCAATTTTTTTAACTCTAAAAGTTGTATAATGATTTTAAACCACTGATAAATATGCTTATTTAACTTCAACTTCTGCTTCTTTTGCTAATTATTCAATTTTAGGATTTATTTCTTTTACTTCATCACTAATTCCTAAATATTAACCAGTTACAATATGTAATAAATAATAAAATGAATCTCTTTTAATATATGTTACTTCAGCATCTTCAGAATTTTGAATTTAAGAGAATTTAAATAATGCATTTTAATTAGGTTCTGAAATCAATTCCATATCAACTAAATTTCCATTTTTTGTAATTTATAAATATCTACCTGTTTAAAAATGTCTAAGTCTATATGTTTTATTCCAATCTACTCTACCTCCACTCATTTAATCTGAACTTTCAATCTTCCAAAAACAACTATTTGGTAAATCTTATAATTTCTTTTAAGATTCACTACTATTAAAATAATTAAAATTTTAAAATGTAACAATAACATCTTCTATTAATATTTTCTTTAATATTTTAGCATCTGATTAATTTAAATTAAATTCTTTATCTAAATGTTATTATGTCTTGGTTAATTTCAATAATTAATCTTTTTGTTTAGTTTGAGGTTCAGACGAAGAAAGATTTTCAATTTTCAATATTTATAATATTTTTTTGAAAGGATCATAAGGTTTTAATGCATTTACATGTAACTTTAATTCTGATAAATAGAGTGCAATTACATCTCCTACATGAAGATAATCATCAAATTCAGATTATTTTTCATTATTACTTGCACAATGATATCCTTCAACTCTCCATCTTGTTTAATATTCAATACTCCCTATAATTTTACTCTTTTTTATTTCCTATTGAAATTGTTTCTTTAATTATTTATCTTTTGTTTCTTTATATTTATATTCTTATCCTTTATAAAATGTATATAAAGATGGTGGTCGATTACAAACAACTTTTGTACTTGATAATATAACAGCATCTTTATTGTAAACTATGTTTGTTCGTAATTTCTAAAAATTTAAACAGGGAGTAAATTTCATTATGCTACCTTCATCAGGAAAATCTTTTAATTAAAAATGTAAATCTTCTGGATTTTCATCATTTAATGTTAAAAATTTTAGAGAGGTAACATGAACTAACATAAAAGTAGATGAACCAAATATTAAAGGGACTCCTGTTAATTTACTAGTTAATGAAATGTTTGATGTCACTTCTCCATCTAAATTAGTTCTTAAACTCTAAATCATTCCTTTTCTTGATTTTACGACTTTTATAAAATAATGAATTACCTTAAATTTCACTTAGTTTTTAGAAATCCTCTTAAACAATTTCTTTCAATAATTTTTAAGTCCATTTAAAGTTTAAAACAGGAATAATTCTAAAAACAGTGTTTTGAAAATCATGAAATAGATTTCCATGAACACTATTAAAACTAATTAATGTAAACTCACTACTCATAAATCCATCTGTATAGATATAAACTTGAGGATGTTTAGCTAAAGAAAGTGATATTAATGATGAATAAGTAATAGGTTGACTCATTTGAACCTAATTTAATTTTATTATTATAATAATAAGCTTATTTGAAATTTGATACACAGAATCAATTTTATATATAAATAACTTTAAAATCACATCATTTGATATACATAATATATTCTATTATAAAATAAATTTGTATAACCATTAAAAGTGTTATAAATTTAGTATATAAATTCATTCCTTCTTCTTTTTCTTTTTTTTCTTTGTTTTTTTTGCAACTTCAAAAGGATTACTCATTATCATTGATCCAATATCTGGAATTTTATCATAAAGACTATTTTTATCTACTGTTGGAGCAATTAAACCAGTCATTATTTTTTTTAATGGAACAACTATTTTATGTTTAGCCATTCTATTTTTTATCTATTTTTAATTATCTATAAAAAAATACTTCAAATACTTCTTTTAATTATTCTTCAGAAACTTTATCAGGACTAAATGCATCTATTACACTTGCAATCTTATTTTTTTATGATATTGATCTATCTTTTTAATCAGACTTACCATATATAGATAATGATTATTAAGCTTTCAATGGTGTAATTTCAATATTTGATAAATTCAATAAACTTGTATATTTCTTTTTTGTTGTTTCAATTTTTTATTTAGAAACTAATTCTTACATTTCTATCATTGTTCTAAAGGAATTGTTTTTTGAAGTATTCACAATTATAGGTAATTATTTTAAATTAATAACTTTTGGATCATAACCAATATAATATTACTTCTTTGTTTACAAAGGAGAATCTGGACTATATTCTAATTGTTTATATCTGCTTCCAAATTATGATGAATCTTATCTTCTATCCATTTCTTTTTGAATTCTTGATTTATTTTTTGACCATTTTAACATAGATTCTACTAATTCTTAATCTTCTTTTTAAGTTTAATGTTCTTTATATCTATTAGTAATCCATCTTTATTATAAAGATACTTCAATCTCTTAATTAGATGGTTAATATTATTAATAATTTTATCTAATTTCAAAAGATTTACTTTATTATCTTTATATACTTATGTCTTAATCATCCTTAAGAAATACTTTGACTGGTTCAATTGGCATTTTATTTTCTTCATTTTCTATATCATTTTCTTATTACTATTATTCATAAACAGAAAATCTATTTAAATTATTTTATGTTGGAAAAAAAGATGATTAAGTATCTGGTTTTATTTGAGATATCTATAATTGTTATTGAATCAATTTTTTTCTAGAGTATTATTATAATCTTTAAATAAACTTGAAATTTGATACCTAACATCAGGAGGATCTATTTCTTTATGAATAGTTCTTTATTATTATTTAAAATCCTTGATGTTTTCTTAAATGATTTAGCTAGGCAATTACTTTTGTTCATTAAAATCTAAAAAATGTCTTTTTGTTTCATCATTTGTTGTACCATCAAAATTAGAACTTTCATATTTAAAATCAACTGATTGAGTATGTTTACATCTGCTTTTTATTGATCTACTCTATTCTTAATTATTCCAATCATATATTTTCTAAATGAATTCTTCTTATTAATCCTTATTTGTTGATAATAAAGCTTCTCTTAACAATTATAAAATCTGACAATGAAAATTATAACGTGTAGGAAAATTCTAAGGAGTTATTTTACTAACTTCTGCTTATTGTAACTAATTTACTATGTAAGTATACTTATTTATTGAATGATGTCAATTGTTCTTTTAAGACGTTGAATTTTTCATTTTTATCTAAATGAAGACCTTTCAATCCACTTAAATCAAATTATTAATAGACGAATTTATTATGCCATTATCTTACATTCCGATAGAACTCTAATTTATCTTCATAACTTATATGTTTTAATTAGGGTCCTTCATGTTATTATCCTTTATGAATTTCATTCATAATTTTAATTATAATTTATTATAATATAGTAGTTAAGTAAAATGAGAATAGTTTGCTGTAGTAATTGTAATTATCATATTTGATATAAGACATAAATTAATAAATATGTAAAATTAGGAGATTATAATATTTATACTTAATTAGTTTAGTAAATATTAAATAAAATGAGACCTTCAAGTGCATCTGGATGTTAATCAAGGGAATAAGAGAAAGTAAATAAAGAACAAAATAAATCATCAAAGTAATAAGATAATAATATAGTTGTATTATAGTCCTTATAAATTACCAATTGGAATAAAACATAGTAAGCCAAGTGGTTCTACATAGAAGATGGATTGGGAAAGGTTGTTTGAAGAGAGTCAACAATTAAAAATGATAGTAAACTAATTAAGAGATGAGAATACAAAATTAAAGACGAAAAATGTTAATTTAGAAGTAAATATTAATTGATAATAACATAAAGAAAGATTTAGTGAAATGCTCTAATATAATAGAAGAAATGGAATAGACAGGCAATATGAAAAGATTTTATCAAACTCCTACTTAAGATAATTAAATGATATTAAATTTAAAAACTTAAGTGAAACAATTAAATGAACAACTTAATGATTCAAAATAAGAACTATAAACAATAAAGAAAGCATCTAAATATACTAAATTAACAGAATTAGAAATTGAATGTAAATAATTTTAAGATGAAACAATACGTTTATCTTAGATTATAGAATAATTGATAACTGATAACATTTATTAAAAGTAATTTGAAAATGAATAAAATAAATTAAAAGAAATGTTAATGTAGAGAGAATAATTAATTAAATAAATGTAAGAGGAATTAGAATATTATATGGATGAGAATAAGGCTCTATCTGAGAAATTATAATAGATGGTTTAAGCATATCAAGAATTAGATAAAATATACAATAAATATTAAAGTGAAGCTAAAAATAAATTGAAAATTAAAGATAAATAAATATAAGATCTTAGAAATGATATAGATAGAATATCGATATCAACTAAATAAACTAAATAAATTACTATTAAGAAACCTAATCCTTAAAAATTTATGGATAAATCTTTAAATAATTCTACAAAAAGAGATCAATCATTTAAAATAAATAACAATTTAAATAATAGTACTAATAATAATAATAATAATAATGTACTAAGTTCAAGTGTTAATCGATCAATGATGGATTTAATAGATGAACCTGTTAGGTAATAAGAATTAACAGAAATAAGTATTTATAATTTAATTATATTTAGGATTGGAACTTAGATTAAGATTAAGTTCTGCATCAATTCCTATTGTTAAATTAGGTCGTTATCTTTTTAATTAGGGTTCATCAACTATAGATTTTAGTTCTCTTCATGATAAACTAACTAAATAGCCATTTTTATTAGATAAACCAGATGCTATGTTACTAGCTAGATATCTCATAGAAAAACATAATCAAAAATATCCATATAATATTAATATCAATTTAACATAATAAAATGAATTTGTTAAATCAGAATTTATCAATATTATTGGATTCTGGCCTATTTATGATAAAGTAGAATCCAAAATATTAGAAATATATCTATCAAAACTGTTCTTTAATATTATATCACTTTTAGAATCTAAACTTGTTGGATAAACTTTTAAATATTCTGATTTATTTTAACTACTTGATTTATTTTTAAAATAGTAAAATAAATTAAGTCTCAAATAAATTGAATATTAATATCTTTTATTAAAAGTACATATTATATATTATACAGTTAGATAATCAAAGATTGTCAAAATATAAGAAAATTAAATGGATCTCTTATATTTAAATATTTAAAAGAATTTTGTGATTCTATGGATCATGATGATGAAAATGCTCTTGATGAATTATAAAAGTATTATACTGGATCCTCCAAAAGAAATTCTTTCTTTTTTAAACAACTTCGCTTAAAATAAGAATAAATATTATCTTTATTTGATGTTGATTAAAAAGTTTATGATCCATAATTAGAATAAGCAATTGATAAATCTTCATAAACTTATCTATTGAAAAATGGATTAATCAGAAGTTATTCTGAACCTAATTTTTATGAATTATAATTACTTTAAGAAGAAGAAGATGAAGATAATTAAGAAGATGAAGATAATTAAGAAGATGAAGAATAATTATATTAATAAGCTTTTCATAAATAAATTAAAGCAAAATAATCCTAAGAAGATGATGATGAAGATAAATATTATGTAGAAGATAATGATATTAATGATGATGATTATTAAATAGATTAAAATGATTAGAATGAAGATTATTCTCAAAGTGAACTTTAATATTAAATCAAAAATAAAACTAATAAATCAGATAATTATGAATAAGACGATTTTGAAAATGAATTAGAAAATTGAATATCAATTTAAATTTATTTCTATTTTAAAATATCATTCACTTTAAGTTCTATTCTCAATTATTAATTTATTCAATCATAAAATAATATTAAAAACTTAATTAATTCTAATTCAAAATAGCAATTTAATTTCTCATATTTATTTGAATTACTATATTGAAATTCCAATAAATTAAGAATCTTTTAAGTAACTTAAATAACAATAATTAGTTTAAATTAAAAAAAGAATCAAACAACTAGTATTTATTCATTTTTATAATTATTAACACAACAAAATTAATAAATGCAAAATCTATTTATAGGAAATTAATAAATTTCAATTTTCTTCTCAAATCCTATATAGATAGATAAATCTTTAATATTTATTAGTTATATAAAATATAATAAAAATCATAGAGTTAAACATTATGTTCCATAATTATACTTAAAATAGAAACCTTGTTCTTTAATATTAAGAATTTATATGATATCTTTCTTGATAGACTGAATTAAACTAAAATGATACATATTTTATATTTATAATATTTAGATTAATAAATTGTTAATAATAAAAATAAATTTGTAAGTATATAATGAAAACAATAAAATTATTTATATAAATCATTTCATATAATAGGTTTATGGTCTACCTTGATGGTTTACAATGACAATCTTTTGCATTAACGACTATAGAGGTTTGTTTTGTGGTTAATATTAGGTTTTATTGGAAATTTAAAAAATTTTAGTGCAATCAATCATAGAGATGGCAATTTTTTTTCTTCTTTTTTCCTAAAGTATATTGATATTATACTTATTTTTAATGATGAGAATAGCTAGTTTCTTAATCAAGTTAAGTATTAAAACATTAAAGACTTGGATGACTAAATAATTATTATGATTGTTATTAATGCTACGAAAATTATTTATTTGGCAAAAGCCTTCTGATCGATATAGATTGTTATTTTTTATTTTCATATTTTGTTTATAGAAATATTTTTTAATACAAGTCAAGATCACGTAATAATTTTTCACTTTGTGCAATTTCATTTTTTTGATGATTACTTTTGTTTAAGTTTTTCATTTATTATATTAAATAATTGATATAATATATATATATCTATTATTTAATAATATTTTATTTATTTAATAAGTATTTATGGTTTATAAGGATCATCATGCTTATCAAAAATAAAATAAGAGCAAACATTAGTGATTATATAGGAGTAGGAATCTAGAATTAAATTAATTTTACTTTTACAGTTCCAAAAATTTATAATACAAATAAAATCTCTATTTTATAATTTATTTATTTTATTTACTCTAGAAAATTTATCATAAATATTGCTTCCTCTATCAAAAAAAAATCCCCAGAATTACGCAATTTCTCATGTTCTTATAATTTTTTTATATTTTTTGCATTGAAAATCAAATTATTAAGAATACATATATAAAAAATACCCCTCTAAAAAGTATTAAATTTACTTTAAACCAATTAATTAAAATTAATAATATTTTTAATCTTAAAGTACTACAAAATCTATCAATATTAAGTATTAATAAATAAATGAATTGAAAAGTACATTTACTAATATCATGATAATATAATATATCTAAAATATCTATTAAACTATATTTATTTTAGTGTTTAATTTAATAAAATTAAAAATAACATATAATATATCCATATTTTAATCTATATATTTGTCATATAGATCATTTAAATTGATCTATGATTTTATATTATAGAATACTTTTCTAATTTGAAATAAATTATTTTTATAATAAATGAAATAATTTGAGAATAATTACTATGTAAAATCACTAATTAAACCCATATCATAAGTGAGTACTAATTCAGCTGTGACAAGATCAATTGAATAAAAACCTCCATCTTATTTAACTTTCACTCGTAAAAAACATAAAAGAAAAAATGAGACTGCTATAAAATTACCTGAATTATAACCCTCTTCAATAAGAGCTAAAACAGAATAAGATTAACCTGTTGTTAATTAATTAAAAAAATCTATTATTATTATAAGCAGAAAACCGAGTGGAGTAGTTCTTTCTTAAAGAATTAAAACTCAACCTTCAATTCAAGTATGGGAACCTGAAATAAAAGAGATTTAAGAAGTTTAATAAATTAATCTAAATCAACCTTAATTTATTGATGTACTTTGTGAAGAGTTAATATTAAAATAAAAATTACCAGAACTCTAAAAAAAAAATAAAATCATATGTAAAATCAAAATAAATGAACTTGAAATATTTTAAGATAGAAGTTCAAGAATCTTAAGAAAAATCATTTAGTTGCTTAAAACTTAAAGAGAAAGATCAGAAGAAAAAGAACTTAAAAATAAAATTGCCACAGATACTTAAATGTTTAAATCTAACATTTTTTTATAAACTTAAACTTAAACTTAATATCTTCCATAATAATCTTTACATAATTCCAAAGAAATGTTATTTTAATAGTAATTATCTGCTATACCTAAAAAACATACTAAATTTAGCTCTTAAATTACTTTAACTCACTAAGATGAATCTCTAAAACCTATGAAAAGTCTTATAGAAGCAATTAAAGAGAAACCTTAAGATATTGTTAAGTAACCATCAATAAGTGCTACTACTCCACAATTCCCTATTAATAATAAAAAGAAAATTAAAGTTCTTATTGAATGTACTGAAGAATAAAAATAAAATAAAATGGAATTTTATATTCCTCAATATATGGAAGAAGATTCAACTAAAATATTATAGTAATAAAACGAAGTTCTTGAAATCAAAAATACAAAAAAATCTAATATTTATTCTCTTGTTTCTAAAAATATGTTCAATAAGTAATTATTCTAAATATTTAGAAAAATCAATAAACTTTAAAATATTAATGATTAGATCACTGATGAATTTCATTCAGACAAAGCAACTTAATTTATTCGCTATTATCTGTAGAATTATATCTTGAAATGTTTAAATTAAAACAAACTAAAAGAAAAAAGAGAAGATGAAATAATTTAAGACATAATTAGATAAGATTCCAGAATTGATCAATAACTTTTGATATCAAAAACTCTTCTAGATCAATCAATTATAGTAACTATTATTTATAGTTAAGTAAGACTTTCAAACAACAAGATTACTAGATATTAATAGTGTAATTTACAGATGCCCAGAACCTTACGATTCTTAGAATTCAATCATGATATCTGATTATAGTTATCTTACTAGCAAAAGTTAGATGGAATATTCATATGATGAAGGAATGAAATTAAAATTTTTATGTTCTTCTGGTTTATTTAGTCAAAGTAATTAAAAAGAAAAATTCATAAAATCTATAATTTCAACAATTTCGGATGAATCAAAGAATAAACTTTTGCATATGGAGATAATAGCTTTTGAAAATGATATAAAATAGATAATCCATATAGATTATGAATTGCCACATTAACCTCGTATATTTTAAATATTTAGATAGATTTGGAAGCTATAAATAGGCTATTTTTAAGAATACATAGAAGAGATAGAAAAAAATATCTGTAGAAATTTATGAAGAAATATGAAATAATATGTGTAGGATTATTTGAAGATAATTTTAAACATCTGATGAACAATGCTGAAAAAAGATTTATAAAATTTTGCTATTAATAACAAAGTAATAGTTTAATGGATAATACTTCTTTGAAATGTTCAAATATGTTAAAATCACGTCATTAAAGAGAAACCACAATAGAAACAATACCAAAATAAATGAATTTAATGACTTTATCATTACCTCCAGGTACAAAGAGTAGATCTGAATCTCCATCAAATATTGTATAATAAATTAATTTATATTAGAGTGAGACAAAAACATAAAAGAATGGTAGTTAAAATTAATAAGGATTAGTTAGGAATGCATCAAGAAGTAATTTATTTATAATAATAATATAAAGAACCATTATAAAAATTCTTATAAGTTTAAGGAGTAACTAAAATACAATCTTAATCATAAATATCTAAAGTTAATAATTTATCAGTAGTTAAAGAAAAAGAATAATAAATAATTATTAAGTAAAATTAATAGACTCAATAAAATAATAAATAAACAAATCCTAATTAATTATCTATGGATCCATATTCTTTATTATTTAGAAATATGATGATCTAATAAACAAAAAATGAAGATAAAACTTTGACAGAAAAAATATTTATGATAATTGAAGAACATCGATTATCAGATTTAAAAGAAATACTGAAATTAGAAGCTACTTTTGATATTAATTATTAAAATGACGAAGGTAATACAATGTTAATATCAGCATCAAAATGTGGAGCTACATTAATTGTTGAATATCTATTAAAAAATGGTGCAGATGTCAATACATAAAATGTATTCATTTTTAAATAACTTTTATAGTATATTGGGCAAACAGCTATGGATATAGCTTTAGAAAATTACTAATTTGCTACTGCAGATATCATATTTAAATATCTTAAACCAGAAAATAGATCTTTTTGAGTTTATTTATATAAATATTTTACTTAATTAAAAATCATTTTATATTAAATTTTAAGACAAGTGAAGACATAATATATATACATTTATTTCATCATAATAATATTATATGAATTAATGCATAATATGGATAAAGCTTTTGTTTAAAAAATGCTTATCTATCATCTAATACACTAAAATTCGAACTAATAATACACATTATCAGATGCAATAATTTAATTAAGTTGAATTGAACTTAGATAAAGATATTGATAATAATCTTAAAGAAGAATTTAAGAATGAAAGTATTTATTAATTTTGAATATATTCTAAGATTATGAAACTGAATTGGTAACCAATGATTTTGAAATTAAAGTACAAACATAAAAATAATAATTAATTGAAAAATAAGAAATAATAGAAGTTGTTCCATAGACTATCGATATAAAGATAATTAGATAATTTATAGAAACTACTCCAACTGTTGATATAAATAATATAGAATTTCTAATTGAATTAGGAAATCAATCATTTTAAATTTATAATTCAATTCTGTATGACTATGATGGATATGAATAACTTGAAGATAACTAAGATGAATTCAGTTATTGGATTAAATATATAGAGACTCCTGAAAAATTTTAGATTCATCAGATGAGATATAAATATACACTTAATACAACTATTTCTAAATATATTGCTTTTATGAAAGATTTAGAAATGTAAAAAAAGATTGATTCTTCAATTGATCAATATGAATAACATTTTTCAAATAATTAATTACAAATTAATTATCTTAGATATAAGAAAATACTTTTTATGGATCCACGTGATTTCTTTTTTATTAAATATATAAAATATATTGATGAAAATACTTTATTTGAAATAAGTAAATCTATTGAAAGTGATGAATTTTAACCTTTGTAATTTTATAATAATTTAATTTAGTACTCCATCATAAAAATCTACAACTAGGGCATATCTATAATTAAGTGGAAATTATATAAAATAAGTAGAAGATAATAAATTAGAAATATAAACATATTCTGAATGTAATATGAAATTAAAATTGAAACCTGTAATGACTAAAACTGCTAGCAAAAATGAAATTAAGAAATTAATAAAAAAATATCGTGATCATTTTAATTAGTAATGATTATTATTCATTTTATTATAATTTATTTCTTACTCATCAAAGCATTTAAATATTCATTCATACCACTATATTCATTTTGCCAAAATTTTATCAAAATTAATTTCTTATTAATATCTATTTCAAACATATTATGAGGTCTTTTACTAAATTCTTCTTCACTATTCTCAAGAACAAATAAATTAAAAAACTCATAATCACTTTTTGGTTAAACTGCAGAATTTACAATGTTACAATCATTTACATTAAATTTTAATAATCCTTAATTCTCATTCAATTTAAAAATCTCTCTTAATTATTAATCATCACATATACTTTTAGGTTCAGATGCATTTAATTTATAAATTATAACATAATCCTTACCATTTTTATCCATATAAATGTATTCAGGCTTTTTAGATTCCTATTTCAAATGTGTGAATCTTTGCTTAGAATATATTATCTATTTCATAAAATTAATATTATACAAACAATCCTAAAAATGCAGATATGTGAACGACATCTAAAGATCCAAAAAATAACCAATAACTAGAATAAAGTGTTATTGGAACCAATTTCGCAATTCGTATATATATATTCTATTTTTACTCTTCCTAAGACAATTCTCTTTACTTAAATATTGGAATATAATTTTGATTCACCCATAAATTTGGTGCTACATATTTTGTTGGGTAATATTTTTGAAGAGTACAAAATCTAGATATTAATTTAATCATAACTTAATTTTAATTTTATATTACAACAAATAAATAATTCTATGAAACCTTCTTATGATTATTATATCTAAACAATGTTACATATTTGTAGAAAATATTGGTTTTACATATTTATTTAATTCTCTATTATTTCAAGTTAATATATTTATTAATTATTTATATGCTCTTTTCTTAAGCTATTTTTTTTATTATACTTCTTATCTTTATTATATAATGTGAAAGTTAAATCAAAATAAAAAACAATTTTAATTGAAAATGTCGTTTTTATTAGCAATTTTTTTATAAAAAATTATTGAAGTAATTTTTCTGAGATTTTCGAAATTATTGTTTGTTTTTATTTGTTTAAACTCTATTTTTTAGGTATCAATCAAAAGAATTAATCTGATATATTCTATTTTTTCTTTATTGTTTTACTTTCATTAATTATTCATAATAAATAATTTTAGTTCCTTTTATTACACCTTAAAAAACATACAATAAAATCTAGTACTAATAATATTATTATTTAGAATATCAAAATATGTTGTTCTTGGTGTATATCCAAAAACATTTTATTATAAATTGATAAATGTTAATGCTATAAAATTATTTATTAAGCTTGTCCTAAACAATAATTAAATGAAATTAAATTAGTATTACTAATTAATGACTATCCTAAACTTATTAACTTTTAAGATCATTTAAATTCTTAATGATGCAATCATCTTTATTTTAATATGATTTATATTTGTATTTTTTAAGATATCATCTAATTTAATTTAGACTAGATAATCACTAATCCATGAAGTATTAATAGATTAAACAATATATTTAATCATAGATTGTTTTAAATTATTTATTTAATTCCAATTATAAATAATTAATTTCGATAAAAAATTTATATATTGATATCCTTAATAATAATTAGTCTATTAATTGTGATGATGAATTACTTCTATTATTTAGCTATTTTAGATTGAATGATGTATATTGTAGACATTATAAAATAAATTATTAATAAAATGAAATTTAACGACATATGAATAATGCCGCAGAAAAATTATGTGATATACTAAATGCATCACTTACTGAACTTGAATCAAATATTAATTCAAGTGCCATAAAATATATTTCTCAGCCTTAAAACTTGCTTGAAGTAAATCATTATTCTACAGCATAAATAGGATTTAGAATAAACAATCATTGATTTCAAAACAAAATTTTATGAATTTATACATAACCTATTAAAATTTTTTGGATAGCTTAATAATGATTAAGATATATTGAAAATTGCTGAATAATTAGAAAATTATTTTATGAAATATAAATAATAATAACTTTTTATCCAAATGAAAGCTACATTAACAATTAAATTAAAGGCACTTATGGATACATTTTGTGGAGAAAATAAATAAAAATTAGAAGTATTTTATATAAATATATATTTTCAGGTATAAAATTAAATCAAATAATTACAAGAATGTTTAATGAAAATTGAATTAACTTTATTTGAATAATAATAAATATTATCTCCTTAGCAATATTATTATATTACACCTCATCCTAAAAAGAATTTTATACAATAATCTTCAAAAAATAATATAACACCAAATTTAAGTTAAGACGCTGAATTGAGAGCAAAAGGTGTTTTTATCACACCAGAGAATAGATAATAATAACCAAGGCAATTTGAAAATTCTCATTAGTAATATTCTTCAAATGAAAGGTACACTTTAGTCTAGAATAAAACTTTAAATTCATTTGACAAAGAAAATAAAACAGATCTACTAAGTCCAATGTTTGGATTCTAAGAATAAACAATTTAATAAACTTAATCACTTGAAAATGATATGTTAAATTAATTAGAATAAAATTTTTTTAAAGCTTAAATAGGAAATAAATCATTTGATTTATCTAATAAACTTATTTAATAAACATTTTAAAATCCAGAATAATTATAAATTATTAAAACAGAACAATTAGGCAATCTTTTAGAAAGTGATGATCAACCTAAAACAAGAAATTAATCAGTTGATCTAAATAAAGAAAATTAATTATCCCCAAAGGGAAAGAGATTAATCTAAACTTCAAAATCTAAAAAATCTTTTTCAAGATGTACAATATATTTAGATACAACAAATCTTCTTTAGAAATTAAATTTAGTTGAAGCTTCTAAACATATTAATATATAGAATAAATCAGATAAAGAAAATTAACCAAATTATAACATAAAACAATTAAAATCTAATAAACCTGTAAGTTTGTAAAAATAAAAAGGGCAACCCATTAAAAAAGTTTAATCATAAGAAAACTTATTAAAAAAACAAAAGTCAAACTGATAAATAGTTAATAATTTTAGTGTTTTTGTAAGAAATCAATAATTATTTCCATAGTTTAAAGCAGTTCTAGGATATTTATTTTCAATTTATTAATTCTCTTTTGCAAAACTATAATACATTCTTAAGTTATCCTTTCGTTCAGAAAATAATTATAATTTTTTATTTTCGTTTGTTCTTGCATAGTAATTATGTTCATATATTTATTATTATTATTATTATTATTATTATTATTATTATTATTATTATTATTATTATTATTGTTGTTGTTGTTGTTGTTAAACTAATAAAATTTATTATTATTATGGTACACTTTAATATTATTATTATAAATGTTATTATTATTATTATTAGGTAACAATGATTGATTATTCTTATTATAGTAGCTTATCTTCTAATTGACGTATTCTTTATTCATATTTTTCTGATATTTAATCTTCGACAACTAAATTAAAAATATTATATACTTCTCTTATCAGGTATTATTTCTGTATCTCTTTATTTAACTAATTTTTATATATTTTAATATTCCATTAATTCTTCTTTAAGCTTTAATATCTAATTTTTTTTAATCTACAGTTATTCTTCCAATTCATCAATTCTGTCTTCTAATGATTTAATTTTAAGGCTTTGTTATTTTTTTAAAGTTCCCACTTTAGCATTATCTAATTCTTATAATAACTATTAGATTTTTCTTTAACTATTATCTGTTTAGGTTTGATAAATAGTTTATAATTCAGCTAATTAATTTTAACTAATGTTGAACTTTTAAAATAAATCTTAATATTAAATTTAATAATTTTGATCTAAAGAATGATATCTTTAACTCCAAAGCATTATTTATTCTTTGTATTATTATTGTTATTATTGCAAAGCATCAATTTCAATTTTAAATTAATCAATTTCTTTAGATTTTAGATTTAATTTTTCATTAATATCTAATTCAACTTTTCCTTTTGAATCTTATAAAGCTTTTTCAAACTATTTAATTACATCTTTTTAAACAGTTATTTCCTATTGCTATGTTTCAATAATTTTTATTAATTTTTAATTCTCATCTATCAAATGAGTCATTTTATCAGATGATTAATTTAAAAACAATGTATTTTCTCTAACTTCTTTCAATTTTTAATCTTTTTATTCTAATTAGAGTTGCATTTATTAGATTTCTGAAAATAAATTATTAATCTTTTCCTATAATGTAAAATTACTATCTTAAAGTGTTTGATTTTAATTGTTTACTATTTAAAAGCTTTCATTGTGTTCTTCTTCTAATACATTAATTTTATCCTTTAATTATCGATTTTCTAATATAGCCATTTGAAGTTAAGTTGACAATTCTTTAATTACTTCTCTATAAGTTTAAGGATCTGTATCTGATATTTTAGAATCTTCACATTCATTATTTTCTTATATTCTTGATAATTATCTAGGAGTAGCTCCTTATCTAGGAGTTACATGATAAGATGAAAAACTAGTATTTTGAGCATCTTCATTAATAGTAGAAGTAAAGACATTAGATGTATTTATTGGTGTAAAACTAGAACTTTAAATTCGTGGAGAAATCATTCCGTTATAATTTTATTAATAATTATATAAAAAAATTATTATTTTTGTAATTTGATATTATAAAAAAATGATTTCAATGTAACAACCTATAATTACATAAAAAATAAAATAATTAAAATATATTATGTCTTTTAATCATAATTTTTTGATTCCTTTTCAAATTATTATAAAATAATATAGAATTTGAATAGATCTAATATTCTTTTGTGTTTTTGTATATCTAAATATTAAACCTAAAGATCTTCTAAAAATTTAATTACATCATTTCTTTTATTAATATTAATTAAGGATTCCATTAATCATTATTTCCATTTTATAGCAATTTTATAGAGTAACTAATACAATTAAATTTAAGTTCATACCTTCATAGTGATAATTTTTAACTTATTTAAAAGTTTTAAAATTTTAGTTATCCTACTACATAATTAATTGAAACTAAATAAAAACTTTAAGTTTTGTTAGATATAAATAATTATCATGTCTTGATCATTTAATTGAGTTTAAAAGATTTTCAACATTGTCGACTTATGATAAAACTTTATTAATAGACATCCTAAGGTTATAATTTAAAATTAATTCTAAAATGAGAATTTAATTGAAACAACATGAACATCATTGCCTTAGATTTTTATTTAATTTGCTTGGTATATAAGAATTGAGCATGAAATATGTTAAAATGAGATTTAAATTATACTGAAGTTTGAGAATAATTTTTAAGAATATAAGAAAATATAAAAATTTTTGCAAACAGTTTAAGTTATGAGTTTATAAAAATTGTGGAAGAGAGGTTTTCAAAACAACATATTGAAGATATATTTAATTTCAAGTTTATAGATAGAATATATATATAGAATGAGATATCTTAGAATAATTATCTATAATATATAAAGAATATTATGATGGTGATATGTTATATGGTACGCATTAACATAATTTTCAATTTATATGGTTTTATATTTCAAATCTATAAATTAAAACTTATTATTAATGATTGCATAATCTCCACATTTCAAGTTGAACCCTATGACTCCATTGAGTGTTCATCACAAAATGTCTATAATTGAAGATGAACCAGATGACTTGGAGTTGGCACATTCCAAAATATCATTTAACGAAAAATTGATAGTTTGTACATACAAACCTAATCAGAATGTTACTAACATTTAAAAAACAATTTTAAAATTGAAAGGACATCCTGATGTTGGTTGGGTTAATCCTATATTAATGAATGAAATAAAAATATAGACCTCGATATTGAAATGCTCTCAATCACCAACAAGAATTTGTTCCAATTGTTTATGAATTTGATAACAACTATATATATATATCTAAGACTTCAATAAATACAATCATATTTATAAAACAGAGTAAAATAAGTTAAAACTAAACATTCTATAGAATTCTAAAAAAATTATTAATTAATATAATTAATGTAGAGTTAATTCTTTCAAACATATTTTCGAGGATTAATTGAACGCTGTGTTAGTGTAACAATTGAATTAAAAAATGGTTTATAAATACAGGGATAGATTACTTATGTTGATGACAATCTAAATTTTAACTTAGTTGATCCTGAAGTATCTGATCCTCTTAAATAACCATAATTATTATCACTGAAAAATAGTTTTATTAGAGGATCTACAGTTAAATATGTTCATATTCCATATGAAGAATTATAAGCGGAAGTATTGATATCTGCTTGTTAGAAGGAAGTCAAAAAATAAAAATAATGAGTATTTATATATTTAACAATATTATTTATTTATTTAAAATGAATTAAAATAAAACCCTTCCATTTTAGCTTTGTTTCACAGGGTGTAAAAGATGCTGTTATCATTGTAATTTAGGTAATAGTTAATTATAATATTTTAGGTTTATAATCATGTTTGATATCAACGAAATAATGTTTAGTTCCTTGTTGTTAAACAATATGTAATTTAATGAAAACTGTTTGTGTTAAGTTGAATATTAAATGTTCTATCTGTTAGAATTGTTATTAATCTTGTTGTTATGAAATGTGTAATTGCTAATTTAGATGCACAAACCCTTTTCTAATATAAGATTAAATTTCATAAGAGCTTTTTGAAATTATTCAAAACTTTGATTATATTGGAGAGTAATAAATGTTTTGTTATGGTAATGTTCATGTGCTTAAAGAGAATATAATTTATCCGTATTCATGTTAAATTAATAAGTAGATCAACAGAATTACACAGTCCAATAATGTTTGCAGAGAAAATCATTGATCACTCTAATAAATAGATGGCAAAATAATTAGCAATTGAATGGGCTCCTAGATTAAAATAACGATTTCCTCACATTTTATAATTATAATGTATATCTGTTAAAATAAGATTAGTGATGTTATAAAGATAAGTTGATGGATTTTTTAGTAAATAGTACAGAACTTATTTATTTTATGATTATATTTTAGATTCATTTTAATAAGAATATTAAAATCGAATCAAAATGGAGAATTACTTTTCTTAATAGGAACTACTTGCTTATTTCTTAGCTGTACTATCTGGAATTAATTATTTATAAACATAAGGAATAAATCCATCATTTATTGACTTAAATGAAGTATATATAAATGAAACAGGAACTATAAAACTTTTAGATCCATCATTTTATCCTAGGAAATCTCCTATGTAATAAGTTATTGAAGAATTGTAATATATTTTAATGATATATAAATTTTAGTGCCTAGAGTAAGAAGATGTATGCTAAAATATTGAAAAGAACCAATCATATTAAATATTACTTAGCACCTGAATAATTGCAAGTGTACATTCTAATAATTTCTTATTTTAGGAAATCAATACTGGCAATGATTAAACACGATTAAATTCTTGTTTATTTACTCTAGCCATTTAAATAATTTAATATGCAATCATGAAAAACATGGATGACTGTTATTTGAATTACACTATCAATTTTGAATTATTGAATGAAAGGAAGACTTTAGCTAGTTAATATCTTAGTATAGATATTATGATGTTACTTAATTAATGTTTAGAAATAGATCCAGATTAACGTATTTCAATTTCATTAGCATTTTAATAATTCATAAAATTACCTGATGTTTAAATACTAATTTTAGAAATGCCAAAAGAATTTGGATTGGCATATAAATCTTTAATAATTTAATAAGATATATAATTTTAATTTCCCTAGATAATTAATGTTGAATCTTAACCTAATGAATTTAAATAATAATAATAATAATAGTAATAATAGTAATAATAATAAAATAAAAAATAAAGAAATGCATTTGAAGAATTATTGAAATAAAAAAATTATAAGATTGGAGAAAAATAAGAATCTATATTTACAAAAATACTGAAGGAATAAAACTATTAATTTGGTTATAAAGCAAAACCAAATGTTAGGGAATAATTAGAACTCTATTCTCCTTAAGATTCATTTTTTGATTAATTAGAAATGTATCGTAAATAACCACTAATTTTATACTAATAATAATAATAGTAAGGTTCTGTGGAGAAGGAGATTGAATTGTTTTAAAAATAGGTGGATTAAGATTAATAGGAATATAAATTTATAAGAGAAACATATCCAAATGGTTGTATTTATGAAGGTTATAAAGTTAATAATTAAAGGGAAGGTTAAGGTATTTATAAATTTAAAAGTAAGGAAAATATATTCATCCTTCAGGAGCATTTTATGAAGGATAATGGCATAATAATAAGATGGAAGGAATGGGTAAATTTTATAATAATGATTTTTTGATTTATGATGGAGAATGGAAGGATGATGAATATAATGGTTAAGGAAGAGAATATAATGATGATCCAGATAATTTAGGAAATGTTAATTATAAGAATTTGAGTAATATTGATTAGATATGGATGACTTATTAGGGAACATTTATAAAAGATAAAAGAGATGGATAAGGGAATATTGAATTAGTTAATGGAGCTGTTTTTCTTGGAGAATTTAAAAATGGATTACCTCATGGAAAAGGAAAATATAATGATAAGGATTAAAGAATTATAGGTTAGTGGATTGAAGGAATGTTTGTAAATGAAATTTGATTAGTAAATAATATAAATTTATAAATAATAAATTATAAATTAATTGAAACATGCTTTGTGCAATTTGTTCAGATGCTGCCACAAAATATTATAATAGAAATGCTAATATTTTATTATGTAAAAATATTACTTGTTATTATTAATTTCAAAAGATTACATAAAATAAATATATTGAATAAGATTTTGAAGAGATGGATAATCATAAAGAATTTTTAGTGAGTCGTAAAAAATAAGAATGAATTATTAAATAATTAATTAAATAATATATAACTTATGCAAGGTGCTAGATTTGTAGAAACTAATTTAGTTTAAAAGATGCTCCGTAATCAAAATTATGAATTTCATAAAAAGAAATTGGATGAGATATAAACAGAGTAAAAAGTTAATTCTTAAGATTTAGCAAAAAGCCAAGATATGCTTTCAAAGATTTACCAGTACTAAGTAAAACATAACAATTAAAAGCATAATCATCTAGATTTTAGTAATCTGAATAAAGAAAGAGAATTGATGAATAAAATTAATATTTAACTTCACATATTGTAGAAATACAAGAAGGTAAAAACTCTTAATTCAGATCGATATGGACTGTTTAAAATTTAAGAGAAAAAGCATATGTAATTACAAATCTATTATATATTTAGGCAGACACGTCATTATGGAGTGAGAATGCATTAGGAAGAAGGTTGCATTCACCTTTGAGAAGAAAATAATAATAAAAAATTGAAGAAGAAAATTAAGAACTACAAAAGAGACTTGAACTCACTAAATAAATATTAATTGAAAAATAATAAGAGTAAATACATAGATATTAAAAATTACGTGATCATATGACTAGAGTAATTTTAATTAAATTAATTAGATTAAACCTAAATGTTAAAGTACTCCAATGATGAAAACATAATTTCCATCTGTTAAAAGTAAAAGCACTACTTAATTGCTTAATAAACAATATCAATAAGATTCTATTATGTTAAATAGTAAGATGAATGATTTATTAAAATCAGAAATCAATCTTAGTAAAATATCAAAAATAGAATGAATTGATAATCAATTATTAATATAATTTATTTTTTTAACAATTTTTTATCAGATGAGTGGATTCACACATTACAAAATAGAAACTACAGATTAAAGAATGGATAATTATCCATCTTAAAGAAATGTTTAATATCAATAATATGTTACAAATACTTAAATTAGGTAAATTGATGTATTTAATTGATTAAGATCTGAAGATTATAGAGTTTAAACTAATCCCCTTATGTAAGAGTAATATACAATAACTGATTAAGCATCTTTTTAAAAAATTATTGAAACAAAAGATAGAGGTATATAAATCGTTATAATTAGAAATTGCAAACTTAAGAGAAAGTGTTAATTCTTTAAACAATTAGATATCAGATTATTTAAAAGAATTAGATTAATGGAAAAATAAGTATAAATAATTACAAGCTGAAAAAGGAATGAGTCGAATTACAACTGTTAATTAAGGCAACGATTTTGAAATTAATAAATATAAAGATGAGATAAATAAGTTAAAATAGGAAAATAATGAATATAAGTTTAGATTAGAAAGAAATGTCAGTAGTATATCTAAAGATTAAGAAGTTAATTAGTTAAAATAATAGATTAAATAATTAGAAGAATAACTTAAAAAGACATCATTTATTTCATATTAACCAAATTAAGAAATTTATGAATTAAAAGATTAAATTAAATAATTAACTTAAGAGAAAGAAGATCTAACAATAGCGAAGAATTTATTAAGTTAAAAGTTCTAATAATCATAAATATAAATATAATAAAACAGTTCAAAATTATCATATAATATAGATTTAGATCAATTTAGAAATGAAAGAGATGATTATAAAAGAAGAATTAAATTATTGGAAGATAAAATTTAAGATTAATAATAAGAAATATAAAGATTGAATTTTAATTGTGAATAATATATTTAAGAAATCTAATAATCAAATGTAAAATCTTTTCATAAAAATTAAAATGCTGAAATTGAAAGTTATTTAAAAAGAATATCTGCTTTGTAACATGAAGTTTTAGTTTGGTAAGATCGTTATAAAGCTTCATAAACTTAAGAATAAGCTTATGCGATTGAACAAAAGGTTGCACAAAAAGATAATTAAATTACCTATCTTTAAGAAAGAATTAGATAATATGAATTATAAGTTGATTAATTAAAATTAGAAGTTGATAAATCTAAAAAAGAAATTAATGGATATAGAATTAGTTTTGATAGTAGAAAATCTGATACATAAGAGGTTGATTCTTTAAAAAGAAAAATTGCAGAGATGGAATAAGATATATAAATATTGATTTAAGATTTAAATGAAAGAGATTAAAGAATTAGTTCAACCTAAAATTAATATTAAGAAGAGATTAGAATGTTGAAAAATCAAAATTAAAATTAATATTAATAAGAAATGAATTAATTAAGAGAAGAGAAAAATAAATATTAATAAGATTATGAAAGATTATCTAATGAATTAATGATATTTTAGAGATAAAGTGATCAATATCAAAACAATACTTAAGAGCTAGATTAATTAAGATAAAAAATTATTGAATTAGAATAATAGTTGAGAAATACAAACCATTAATATTAATTGCTATTAAATTAGAATTCCAATTTATAATCTTAATTATAAAATTAGTAATCAACATAATAATCATAATTTTAACTAATAAGTATTAAAGAGGAATATTAAACTTTGTAAAATTAATATAAAATGATTCAATCTGAAATCTAATCTTATAAAGATCTTATTAAAAAATATCAAAATGATCAAGAAATATTGAATTAAGAAAATTTGTAGTTAAAATCTTAGAAATCGTAAATGGAGAAAAATGTTTATTAATTCACTAATATATAGAATGAATATTAAACAATATAAGAAAGGTGTAGTTGGTAATAAAATGAAATTTAATAATTGAATGAGTAAGTTAGAAAATATAGAAATGACTATGAGTCGTTAAATTAAAATTATATATTATTAGAGAGAGAAAGTGAAATTAAATACACTTAATAGAATACTAAAGAACTTGAAGTATTAAAATAAAGGATTAATCAATATGAATAACATGTTTTTTAATATGAGTCTTAAATTCAGTAGTTGAGAATGTAATTGTAAAATTAAGAATCTAAATTTGAATAATCATACTAAGAAAGATTGAGAGCAGAAATATAATTTGCTGAGTAAAAATTTAATCAGTAAGGACTTTTTGAATTTTAATCATTATAACAAGAATATAGATCTTTATAAATCTAATATGATCAATTATAAATCAAATATTAAGAATAAAATGTTGAATTAAGATAAATAAGAGAATAAATAAATAGATAAAGTTAATTTGATAGTTAAAATTTAAGAGATCAATTATAATAATTGAGATAAATTAATTTATAATTGAATTAAGAGATTTCAATTTTGAAAGAATAAAGTCTTAAATATAAAAATGAATATGAATAAATAAATTAGAGATTTATTGTAATATAAAGAGATTGTGAAACTTTTAAGAGTAGCTCTATAGAAATAGATAGATTAAGTAACAGATTAAGGGAATTAGAGTATGAATTATAAGCTAAGAATTAATAAATCAATAAATTACAATTGGAAATGCGCAATTTAGATATATAAATTAGAGATGAACTAGAATAACAGTTTATTTCTAGATTAACTGTAGAGAGATAAAATTTAGAAAATAGATTGTAGTAATAAAGCACTCAAGAAATATAATAATTGTCATATCAATTGTAACAAACAAAAATGGAACTGAATTAGTAAAGATCTATGTATTAATAATTAGAGTAGTAATATAATTCAACAAAGATTGAAATAACATAAATAAGATCTTAATAATCAAATATAAGTAATGATTAAGTTAAACGATTGTAATTAACAATCACAGAATATGAACATGAAATTCAAACATTAAATATAGAAATTGAAAGATAGAAAAACTTAAGATAAGAATAAGAGAATAAAATTTAAGTTTTAATTACAAGTATAACCGATTATGAATCACGTTTACACATTTTAGAATAAGAAAATGCAAGATTAGAGAATAAGATTAAAAGATAGATTTTTACAGAAAAATAGAACGATTAATTGATTGTTAATTAATTAGTAGGACAATAGATTTCAGGAATTTAGAAGAGCAATATTTAAATTATAACTAGATAATCTGGAATGAATTAAATTTCTTAGATTCCTACATCTTACAACTAACAGATAGATAGATTGTAATCATAAAATGAAGTGAAATAGTCCTAAGTTTCCTAAAGAATAGTAAATCTTCAGCCTTAGGTATAAAACTATTTAAGTCCCGATAAAAAGTAAAATTAACTATTATATTTCAATTAGTTATTAAACGTAGAAAATAATGACAACTAAAAGTGTGAAATAAGCTATCATGTCATCAGCAAATTAATGATGATAATTTTATATAAATCATAGTTATTTTTAATAAAACGATTTTTTAAAACTAAATGGTTCACTGTTTTTGGATTTTAGTAAGAAATTTGGATTATATTTATTGAATGTAAAGAAAGAATAAAATGAATCTGCTGTTGATTATGTTTTAGTCTTCTGTCCATAGGATCGATTTGAATTGGGAGGTTCACTTTATAGGAAAGTACAAATTTTTTAATTTCTTGGCAATTTTAGCGATGATTTAACTAATTATTTATTAGTGATTTCTCTATTAGATGATAAGTTTGGTTTTTTAATTAAGCGACCTAAACTATTTCTTTCGTGTAAATAGGGAACAAAAGCATCTTCATTTTTAATTATGGAATTAATTGGATGTGTTGGATCATTTAAACTATCTTAAATCAAACCTTTTCTAAATAACTTATTTTATGAATTAGTAGCCTTTCTAAGAAGATTTGATTTGCGAAAGTATATTGTCTCATTTCTCAAAACATCATTAATCTGTGAACTCATTAATTATAATTATTAAGATAACTTTTTTTTGACTTTACAATCCAATTTTGATTTGAAATTCAATGAAAATGATAGTGTTTACTTAATAAATGTAATATAAAATATTTTATAGTGTGAAATCATTTTATTTAATTTTTTAACACTTATTAGCTATCTTAACTGTTACTCCGATAACTGATTTAAGCTTCAGTTTTTAAATGTGTATATGATATAGGACTAATTATAAAATAACTTAACATTTACCATGGTTATCGAATTAGTGTAGGTTATTTAATGGCTTTGGTCTCAGCATAATTTGTAACAGATATCTTTCGAATTGGTATTTTTTCTGGTGAGTTTTTGTAACTGTTGAGTTAAGATTCTTTTATTAATGATACTTACTATTATTAGCTGCAGATTTATCATCATTAAGTTGACTGTTTTTACGATGATGAGTATAATTAGTTAAATTAAGTTTATTAACTTAATAAATTGTTTGATGATCTTCAAGAATTGGTTCTGTAATGAGTTTTTGTTATTTAGATTGATTCGAATTAATTACTTTACGAATTTCACTTTAATAGATAACAATATCTTTATTTTTTTATTTGATTTATTATTCATATTCTTTAATGATTTAATTTTACTATTCTCTTTCAATAATGAAATCGTCAATTTTTTATTGAAGAGTTTCAGTATAGATTCTAAGTTATTATTCAATTCGAATATGTTAACGTATATCAGCTTCAAGTTTTTATATCAAAGATTCATATTGAGATTAAGATTCTTATAATTGAGTTTTTTCTTCTAATTCAACCTTAGTTTTGATAAGATAGATGACAATTTATTTGAAATAATTGATGATAATAATATTATCAACTTAGCTAAGTGTTTATTTATCATCATCAATAGGAATAACTTTAGATAAATAATCTTTAGATGATTTATCTAATTTCTAAATGATATCTAGAAACATATCTAAAATAGTATTAGAATGTTATGAATATTTTTTAACATTCTTAAAAGATTCTGTAATTTATTTGATGTTAAAATAGTTCTCTTTGCTATCCATTTAACTGATTAATTAATTATTATATAAATTATGTCTGAAAGAGAAGCAACATTAAATGAAATAGGTAAAAAGGCCTTAGCAGATACTGAGAAATTAGCTACAGTATAAAGATTTGGACTATTCTCTTCACCTGTTCCCCTAGGTTTAGGTGATAATAGTTATGATAACAAACCAAGACGTTTTATTATTTGTTTTAAAGCATAGCTGCTCGTAATGAATAAGGAAAACCAATCACTTCCCCTTCAAATATTAAAGTTACAGCTCCTCAATCAGGCAAAATCAAGTCATCCTACTTTAGCTAATTAGGCTTTACAACCATTGGTGATAAATATATAGACCCTGAAAGAAAAATTCGCATCTAAGAATTAGAAGAAAATAAAAAATATTCTTCTGATGATAAAAAAAACTTTGTTCCTCCATCTGGCTTTAAAGAGCTTGTTGGAGGTGTTTATCCTCACTAGGCTGATTTTGAAATACCTAAAGGTCCAAATAATCATAAAGGAAGTGATGGCAGAGTTAATATTGGACCTAAAAATGTGACCACAAATCCTGAATCTAATCAATTAGGTCATTTCCCTAAACATGAAAAGGATGAGTACAATCGTTATAAACAATTTGAAAGAGAAAGAATCTTTAATGAATAAAAATTGCTCAAAGACAAATAACCATTCAAAAGCACTATTTACACAACTGATAACTTCAGCACTGATAAATAAGTCTTTGGTGAAACTAATTTACCTAAAGTAAACTTATTATAGAATATAGCCAACTCAAGTCAAAGAATTTAAACCAAATATCATGAAACATGAGGCTCCTTTTAAACCTTCAAATCCAAATAAAAGTGGTGAGACTGGGTGTTTAAGCAAATATCCTGAATATAAGGGAAATCCTTTAAAGCCAACTTAAAGAATAGATTTTGTTAAAGGAAAAGATCCATTCAAGTATAATTATATATTAAATTAGACCTAACCATTTAATGGAAATGGTTAGACCTACTCCAAGCATTTCATGTTTTCCTCATAATCTTAAAAGAGAATTAAACAATAGAATGTTTTGAGTCATTATAAATTAATCAATATATATTTATATCAAGAAGATTCCTTCATCTAATTTATCATTTCTACCATTGATGATGATGATATTGATAAATTTTGACTTAATTATGTATGAATTTTATAATTAGTTTAAGAATTCTATATAATTATGAATCTATACTTCTAATTATTCAAAAATTTATTAAATTTATTTCATTGCAGTAGTCAGAAATGGTTATTTTGGAATTTTTAAATCTTATCTCCATAAATCTATTTAATTATTTTTTTCATTAATTATTTTCTAGAATTACTTATTATCAATTGTTAGTTTTTTTATTTATTAATTCTTATTTTCTAAATCTATTTCAATTTCTCTTACTCTATTCCTATAAGCCTCTAATTATAAGTTTTATTGATTGATTTAATGATTTAAAGAATCAATAATGCTAGTTGCATTATTTTCAATAGAATAAATCTTTTATAATTCTTATTCTAGGAAGGTAATACGTTAATTTAAAGTATCTTTTAATTATAAATATTTCTATTTCCAATCTTCCTAAGTAACATTATTCATCATAATAGATGAACTTCTACCTTTTAGAGGTTTATGAGAAATAGCAAGATTTGTATTTTTTTTTTAAACATTTTCAAACAAATTTGGAACTGATCTATTCTCATTATTATTTACAAAATTAAAGAGTTGATTTTCAACTTAATTAGAGTTATTTCTAGTAATATTCTATTTTGGTGATAATGATGTACAAGATCTTTACATTTAAGTGCCTTTTTTCTATTTAAAATACTTGCTTAAACCCTTGAGAGATTACATAATGGAGATTGGAATAACATTAGTATTCTAATTAATCTACTACAATTAAAGTCTATATTGCATTCGTTAAATAATTATAAAACTCAATTTTAATAATTCTCTGCATACTCTTTTACATACATTCTCATCTAGGCTAATCCATAAGTTAATCCCATAATACAACAAATTCCTTATACCAACTATTTATATTTCATTATCTTCAACATTTAATTACTAATCTCTGTACTTCTGGCATACTTGAAATCTGCTCTCTTTATACTATCTCTTATATTTTATGCTTCCATTTCCATCTTTTGCATTCCTGATCTCTCCATGTCTTTTACTATTGAACTCACTAAATAATTTCCCAATAATCCATATATTGTCGTACTTATTCCTAAATATAAAAATAATCTAATCTTTATGGCATTCTTCTTTTCATTCTACAATTCATTGCTCTTCCATTTTTCTAATAAGCTTTTTACTATAAACTCACTCTTACACTTTTTCTTTCTCGGTCATTGGAGCCAAATAATCAGATGGTTAAGGAAAGATCTTATACATTTTAATATATATATATATTAATTTATTTATAATAATGGCAGATTAAAGAAATAGATCACCTGAAGATCTTGTATATTACTTCTAATAGAATTACTTACATTAAATGCGTAGAAAAACACATTAAACCATACTTTAAGTTGAAATTCAATAAGCCAGAATTAATAAATCACATTCCACTCATATTTCTTAACCAATATCTTCAGCATAAAACTTATTTGATGCTTATATCAAAGAAAGATAACAAAAACGTGATATCAATTAATAGCAAATCAAACCTCAAAGCAAATCATCCAAATAATTAAATTAGATTTTTATTAACAACCGATAGGTTATAAAAAGAAATCGAATTGCATCAATATAATAACAGGCTGATAAGAGCCTCGAATAGTTAATCTCTCGTAAAAAGAGTGTTAATTTTACAATCTCAGATTCAAATTAAAATTAAAAAAGAAAAATAGGTAGATTTTCTATATAAATAGAGAGAAGTGTGATTGGCTGATAAGACCTGGAAAACTACATGTTGATCGTAAATAAATAAGATAAATTAGACATGAAACTATTTTTAGAGAAACATTTAATCGTTTAAATGGTTGGTAGATAGATAATGACAATGATACTGAATTCTGATCTTTATTATTTTTGTTAAAACATTATTACCAAAATAACATTTTTCTTGAACTATTCAGAATAAAATTTAAATTATTTTATTACAATATGAATGAAGTTAATGAATGTAAAAAATGAAAATTATCCAAAAATAATCATTGGTTAAGTTATTAAAGAAACTTTATATAGAAATAAATTATCTGACTAAAAATAATTTTATTAGTTAAAAAATATTGATAAATGCTTAAATTAAATTATGTTCACTTATCAGTTTTACATAATTTTGATAAGCGAAAATGATTCATACAATTAAAAATGATGATAAAGCAAAAAAATTTATTTAGAATCTTTTAGAAATTAGCTAACCATAATTCTACAGATATTTAATTTAATATTTAATTAAAATATAAAAATAAAAAAAAAGAATTGAAAAATATAGATAAATGAAAGATCAGATATAAAATAATAATTGAAAGAGATACTTTCAAAATAGTAGAAATGAGTAAAAGTAAAACGATTAAACTTATTGTAACATTTTATTTAATATACTATTAATATATCATTATTATTTTGATGATTTTCTCTTTTTTTTTGGTGCCTCTTATGGTTATTCTTCAGGTTGTTCAAGGACTTCTTCCACAACTTTTTTAGATTTAGATTTTTTGGATTTCTTTTATTATTTGGTTAATTATTTTTCACTTTCAAAATAGAGCCCTTCTCCTTTTAATTCAGTTAAAACTTCATCCATAATATCAGTATTTTTATTTAATTCACCTCCAGCAGTTAAAAATTTCAATCTTTATTCCATTTAATCTTTTAGTTTGATTCCAAATTTTTCAGTAGGTTATATTAAGAAATGATCTAATCTTGAAGCAATAGCACATTTATTGGCTAGATTTCTAATAAAAATAATATTTAAAATGATTACCTTGATATTTTTCCTTTATCAGTTCCATTAGCTCTACCAATATATGTACTATGATATAATAAACCATATTTAGGAGTATTTCCTCTAGTTTTTAAAGCTCTAAATAATGCTTTTTCAGCTCCTAAGATTTAAATAGTAGAAGCAGGATATTTGGCAAGATTAATTAATGATCCAGCATGGGCAATTAATTTAGCAGCTACATTTTCACCAATTAATGCTGTAAGATTTGGTGCAATATTTGTCATTTTATTTTTTAAATATTCTTGAATATTATCTCTGAATTCAAATTGATTTAAAACTCTAATACATAAATCTTTAAGTGTAGATAAATCAATTTCAGAAATATCTTATCCCATAGATATTTTAGAAGCTTCAACAATTTATTTAGCTAATTCAGCATCAGTTGTAATTTCTTCAATTTCTTATAAGGCTTAATCATTAATATTCTTCTTATCTCCATAAGTATCTACAATTCTAGTAAAAATACGATTATCTGTGACAATTTTGGCTAATTCTGGGAAATGCCATGAATACCATTCTTTAATTCTCATACTTAAGGTATTAAGATCTTTATCTAATTATTCAATTATGCTAATAGCTTAAGTTACATGTTTATCTTCTCTATTAATATCCAATTTAACTTTATTTCTTGATACTTAATGTGCTAAACCTAATTAAGCTTAAATATAATCTCGTTCTTTGAAATCTTCATTTCTTAAAAATTCAACAAAATGTGTTCTAATTCCTCTAAATACTTAAGCAGTTGCTTCATTCATTTTACTCTTTAAATTTAAATATTATTAAAGTCCAGCAGCTAAACCTTTATCACAAATAGCAATTGAAAAACTATAATAATAATATTGATAATAAATTACTTGCTTTTCTTTCCAACAGGTGGTAAATTAGTTGATAAAAAATCTACTAATTCTTAAGTCACAGAACCTGAATGAATTGATAAAGCATTATTTAAAGCTATTTCAGCAGACACAAATGGTTAAAATGCCTTAATAAATATTTATCAATACTTTTAAATGACATACTTCTGTGAATTAACCAAACTCAGAGAATTGTTTTTGAATCTATTTAGATTTAACATTAGTTTCATCTATACTATCACATTAAAATAAGGCTAAACCAGCTGCTGCCTCAAATAAATAAAATGTGCTCATAAATTAAATATTTAATTAAATGTTAACTTATTAGTAATTTTAAATTAAATTAAATAAGTCATTCTCAACAACATTGCCTCTTCTTATTATTTGTCGTTTCTATCTTATTTTATTCACTCATCTATATTCCTATTGGTTCAGAACTTAATTTTAAACTTGCTCTCTTCAAATATTCCTATCCTTATTTATCAAATCCAATATAAATCTCTAAAAATCAATCTTCATTAATACTTTCAAGCAATACCGAAAAAGCTTTTCCTACATTTATAGCTTTTAATGATGATGTCTCTAAAAATGGCATATTATATTATTATGCTTTTTATACTCCATCGTCACTTCTCACAACCTAATTGAAACTATTAATATACTCTTTTACTCTCTAAATCACACTTTGTCCCTATCAACATCATCATCAAATTATTATCTCCATGATCTCTCAATTCATCCATCCATTTCTCAACATTCAAAAATGACTATTCTTTTGTAATATCATAACATATCATTGCACCTACTGCACCTCTATAATATGCATGAGTTATTGCTCGAAATCTCTTTTTTAATTCTATTTATACTTCTCTTAACCTGCTGTATCCCATACTTAAGCCTTTATTGTCTTTCCCATTATATCAATATTCCTAGAAAATAATTCCACTCCCACTGTTGGTTTACTATTATCCAAAAATGTTTATTAAGTAAAACGAATCACCAAATTTGTTTTACCTACTCCTGAATCTCCTACTATTATTATTTTCATCAAAAAATCAAAATCCTCTTCCTCCTACATTTCCTTATGATTTTTATTATTTAAATCTTTAAATTTATATCAATCACTATCTTACTTACTCTATATATATCATTTTATATAAAAAATTAACTAATATATATCAGCATTAATATGGAAATGTTTTACAACATACTTCTTTTCAGAACAGGTCTGTATATTATCATCATTATCATATTCATTTCTTAATTTCATACTAATTATATTTTAAATACATTTTTATTAATTATGGGATTTATAACATACTTTTCTCATTAATATTACCTTATATTTTCCTGCCGTTTCTTAATCTATATTAACCTTTCTTTTATTTTTAACTAATATTTTTCAATTGTTCTCTAATATAATATAATTGATAATAAGATATTGATATTATCAAATACAGAAAACATATAATCAATATTTAATATTTTCAGAATAGAATGAATTAATTATTATTATTATATATGTTTCAACTAAAATTTTACTTAATTTATAATATTTATTAATGTTATACTATAAGAGAGTATATATAAAAGATTTGAATATTAGTACTAAAAATGAACAATTTTTTTGATTGAAAAATATAAACACAGATAATTGATAAAGTTTGATAAAATTTGAGATAAAATTTCGAGGGTTTATTAATATTTAAATTTGTAAATGGCTTTGATTAACATTACCAACATAGTTTTCGATTAAGACACTGCTCTGTTTAATAATCCAATTCAAATGTAAATCACATTTGAAGTGATGAGATAATTGGATGATGAAATAGAATGGAAGTATTAAATAAAAGCTTAATAAATTTTAGACTTATTTATATTGGATCTCCAACAAGTGATAAATATGATCAAGTACTTGAATAATTTTCTATGCCTCCTTTACAATAAGGAACAATGTAATTTACTTTAATGAGTTCTGGTCCAAATTTTGAACTGATTCCTAGTAAAGATGATTTATTTGGTGCTAGTGCTATAATTCTTAGTGTTAAATATAGAAAGCAAGAATTCTTTAGAGTATTTATATTAATTCTATAGTATTAATAGGTTGGATACTATGTTTATAACACTTATTTGGAACCAGAACTTATTGAAAATGATCCTCCATAAGTACTAATTGATAGAGTATACAGACAAATCAACACTTAAGCACCAAGAGTTACTAGAATCAATATTGATTGGGAAGGTCAAATGGTTTAATTATATGTTAATCCTCAATAAAATAACCAATCTTTCATGTTCCAATAATAACCTATTTTCAATGATATTACTAATAATCCAGGTTATTTATAACAATAAGTACCAGATAAAACATAATAATAACAATTATAATAATAGCAATTTTCTGGCGGATTAAATAATAATAATAACTAATACACAGATCTTTAAAGCATATTTTGATTAATATTTTTATTATTATTCAATCAATTTTATTAGTTTCTAAGAATCATATATCATATAGATAGTAAATCATAATAATTAAATCATAATCCTCTAAACTATATACGAAACTAATGGCTCTTAATTGGAATCCTGTAAAATTACTATTTGATCCTTCTCCAATAACTCACACTCTTATCCGAATCCTACATGCATTGTAATCCTTTAGTTTCTTATTATTATTATTCCATTCTAACCATTCACTACTATAAACAATTTTAATATATTTGACTTATTATCTTAATCTTATTATAAATTTTCTATTGAAATTATTTCAGATGAGATAAACTTTGTGTCAGGAATGAAAGTATTTTTCTAAGAATGTGAATATTGAAGTGAATTTCTCATTTCAAGAGAACAATGCTATTTTTTAGACAAGGTATAAATTTTAGTTTCTTTTAACACCTATTATAGTTTTATGAATTCCTTTCTTTAAAAATGAAACACATTTTTATGTGATTCACTATCTTCCATCTGAAATTTAAAATTAAACTCGCTTTTCAGATGACGAGGATATTAATCAAATATTTCTTTAATTAATTTAGGTGCTTTAAGTTTTAGTACAATATTAATTTAATGGACAGATGCTATAGATAATCAACATTATTTACATTAAAATGATTATTTTCTTGAAAAATTCGGAAGCACTACTGTTTTTAATACTTCTAAGGATTACATCTCCAATTCATGTATTTAAGCATTGATCTTACTCAACTCTTCTAAACACTATAAAAGTTCCTTATAATTGTTACTCTTACTGTAAAAGTAACCGTTTATTCTTTAAAAAATAAGAATCAAATAAATTACAAGGTAAGATTAGAGGGCAACTAATTTAATAGTTATTCACTAGAGTGTAAAAGATCTTTACATTGCTTTATGATCTGCTTTTGTTCATTACTATATAAGTCTTCTTAAATGTTATCAAAGTACTCAACTTATTCCAATGATTAAGTCACTTAAGAAATTAATTATGTTAATTCATTTTATTTCTTATCGAAGATGTCCTTTGCTGTAAAGAATTATTATCCTTCCTGTACAAACTACTTTATGATAGGAACTAAAGGAAGCATTAGTAATTATTCTAATTGTTATTTATTTTATTTAATTTCCGATTTATAGATTCAATGATATCTTCAAATTTTCTACCTTTATATATGTATTAAAAAATTTTATTTTTTAATGCTTTCAAACATTATCGTATTTTAAATAAGACTTTTTTTTTACACCCTAAATAATTAATTAATTTCTCCTTTATATCACAATTTTCTATCATATTAAATATCACTTATACATCTACTATGAGTATTTATTTAACAGAAAATACGCTCTTCTTTTTTATTTCAAAAATCTTCCTATCATTTTTATAATTTACTTAAACTTTATATTTTTGATAAACAATAAATATTTTTGTATAAAAAAACAAATCTAATTTAAACCATTATGTTTAATCAAATCAGAAATAATATTCATGCTTTTATATATCTTAATGATAATGTTTCTAATTTTCAGTCCAATTATAAATATACTAGGCAATTCAAAAGAAATCTCAATTACTAAAGTTGCTGAAATAATTTTACAAAAAAAATGTTAAGAATTTCTATCCAAATAATACTGAATATAAGATTTTCTTATTAAATTAAATAATATGATATAGATTTCATAAAGATTTTTTGTGAAAATAATCAATTTTAATAATACAGCAATTCCATTTACAGTTTAATATATGCAGATTGGCTATTATTTTCAACATAAAAACCCTATCGACTTTTAAAGAAATCAAATTAGAGGAACATACTATGCTAATTATAAAAATCTAGATTTACAGTAAAACAAAAATATAGTGTTAGTATAAATGATAATGTTAAAATTTACAGAGATTTTTAATAATGATAAAATATGATAATAAAATTTCATTTAGGAAAAATTAAGCCAGGATAGTTTTTATATTCTCTTAATTTAATTCGTATATCTTTATTACTAAATCTTATGGCTTTCAAAATTGGAATTAAGATTAAGAGTACTGTATCAGAGAGATCTCCTTTCCATGTTAAAATTTAAATTCCATTTTCTGGTTACAAACTGAAACATTTAGGAGTATTATCAATAATAATGGTTTTAGATAAATTCCTTCCTAATTTTCTTAGATCTTTCCCATAAAAATCTTTATAAATATTCGTGTGTTATCTAAATAGAAAATAGGTAAAGTATTATTTGATTGTAAGTTTATTAAAAATTTTATTTGCATAAGATTCTAATGCAGCTGTAAAAAGTGTCAATTCATAGATTTTGCTCATTTGTTTTAAGAAAGTTAATAAGAATGGACGCTAGTAAACTTTATCACCATCATAATAAATTAAAGTTTCATCCATATCTAAGACAAGAGTATACTATTCTTAATTGATTGGTAAATGATTAAAAACTAAATTAGGACTTTTTAAATAGGGAAGTATTTTTTTAATTATTATTTAAGAAAATAATGAAAAGTTGCTTTGATATTGTTTGAGTTTAAAATATTCAAGTAACTGATTTCTTAGATGAGAATGATCAATGTGGCTGAAAAATAATAGATAATAGCATACTATTGTACTATAGTGAATGAAATTTAATCTAATGTTGATAATATTTATTGAAGTTTTTAAATTGGTTCTTCTTTAAGTTTGATAAATTTCATCCATATTTAGTGATGTAAAATGATAGTTTTGATAAACTTAGATTTGNGAAATCTCAATTACTAAAGTTGCTGAAATAATTTTACAAAAAAAATGTTAAGAATTTCTATCCAAATAATACTGAATATAAGATTTTCTTATTAAATTAAATAATATGATATAGATTTCATAAAGATTTTTTGTGAAAATAATCAATTTTAATAATACAGCAATTCCATTTACAGTTTAATATATGCAGATTGGCTATTATTTTCAACATAAAAACCCTATCGACTTTTAAAGAAATCAAATTAGAGGAACATACTATGCTAATTATAAAAATCTAGATTTACAGTAAAACAAAAATATAGTGTTAGTATAAATGATAATGTTAAAATTTACAGAGATTTTTAATAATGATAAAATATGATAATAAAATTTCATTTAGGAAAAATTAAGCCAGGATAGTTTTTATATTCTCTTAATTTAATTCGTATATCTTTATTACTAAATCTTATGGCTTTCAAAATTGGAATTAAGATTAAGAGTACTGTATCAGAGAGATCTCCTTTCCATGTTAAAATTTAAATTCCATTTTCTGGTTACAAACTGAAACATTTAGGAGTATTATCAATAATAATGGTTTTAGATAAATTCCTTCCTAATTTTCTTAGATCTTTCCCATAAAAATCTTTATAAATATTCGTGTGTTATCTAAATAGAAAATAGGTAAAGTATTATTTGATTGTAAGTTTATTAAAAATTTTATTTGCATAAGATTCTAATGCAGCTGTAAAAAGTGTCAATTCATAGATTTTGCTCATTTGTTTTAAGAAAGTTAATAAGAATGGACGCTAGTAAACTTTATCACCATCATAATAAATTAAAGTTTCATCCATATCTAAGACAAGAGTATACTATTCTTAATTGATTGGTAAATGATTAAAAACTAAATTAGGACTTTTTAAATAGGGAAGTATTTTTTTAATTATTATTTAAGAAAATAATGAAAAGTTGCTTTGATATTGTTTGAGTTTAAAATATTCAAGTAACTGATTTCTTAGATGAGAATGATCAATGTGGCTGAAAAATAATAGATAATAGCATACTATTGTACTATAGTGAATGAAATTTAATCTAATGTTGATAATATTTATTGAAGTTTTTAAATTGGTTCTTCTTTAAGTTTGATAAATTTCATCCATATTTAGTGATGTAAAATGATAGTTTTGATAAACTTAGATTTGTAATTATAGAGTAATGAAACTGTTAAATCATGTTTGATTAGGTAGAATAAAATAATGGCTAAATACTCTAAATAAATGCTTGTCTGAATTTCATATATATCTATATCATCCTACTTAATTATAGTTAGTTACAGGAATATTAAATAGTTATATTAATTGTTCATATTTTGCATCTTTAAAAAAAGACATTAGCAATTATGATCTTTTGTTGAGTTAGAGAATGAAACAACTATTATTTCTTTTTAATGAATCATATTGATCAACAGTATTGGATCTATTAACTTTGTTGAGTCGAGGTAATTGATGACTATGTATTCTTTTTCTTATAATCATAATAATTATTATTCTAAGTAATAATAAATATAAAAGAAAATCTATATGCCATAAATTTATTTTTGTAATTATTAAAATTAGAGCTTATTACACACCAAGTGTATAATTTAATCAATAGTTATGATATATTTAGAAAAATTTTAATCTAAGGATAACCTTAAATATATTTAATGAAATTGATAAAAATTAAACATTTTTATTTTATGTCTCTCAAAAAGATTACAAAATTATTTGAATAATATATTGAATTAATCTTGCAACTTCAATTAATGACTAAAATTAAAAAAAAATCAGAATAACAAATAATTTCAAATAAATCCTATTATCATTTGGTGTTCAAGACTCAAGACTGAAAAGAAACACTGATGACGAAAGAAACCAAAAATTTTATGATGCAAATATTGTTAATAAATATGTAGTAAGTTTAATGATAAGTAATTTTAAGAAATAATATAGAAATTTAATATCTAAAATGCCATTCGCTAATCCTAAAGAATAGAATAGAACATTTGCAAATAGTTTTGTTGGTTATGAATTATCAAATAAATGCATACAAATTTAGCTCATCTGAATTTATAATGGTTGAATAAATCTAAAAAATGGAAAATAAAAAATTTAGAACCACTATTAATAACTTGTGAATTCCATTATAAAAATCATTCAACTATTTGATCATTTATAATATATCTTAGATTCTAAAGTTGGGTTTACTAAAAATTATTCTCGAAATTCAAAGAGTTATTGCTCTAGATTGAAAAGAAAAAATAAAAGATTTCAATATTGAGTTATCAAATAATGGAATAAATTCCAAACAATAAGAAGTTGTAGTTTATTAGAGTAATAGATTAAAGACTTCTTTTGATGTCTTAGAATTCTAGTTTTTTAGAGAGAATTAAGGGTAATCAAATAATATTTAGTTTAATGAATTATATTTATTTAAATAGTATATAGATTTCTGGAACACTCTTGAATGATTATTGATAAAGAAGTATTATAGAGAAATTAGATTAATTTTAATATATGGATAAATTAGAATTTTCTATTGTTTGGGGAGTACCTTCAAAGGTCATTTATTAAGCTCTTCTTGATCCATTCGAGATTATGTAATACACAAGAGCACCTGCTATTGTTGAATCAAAGGAAGGAGGGTAATATAAAATTATGGAAGGACGCATTGAGGGTGTGTTTAATAAATTAGTATGATTTATTTCTAATTAGGTTGAAAATCAAGAAATCTAAATGACATGGAAATTCAATAATTGGAAATAATACTCAAACGTTACTTTAAGACTAATTGAAAGGGAAGATAGTTGTGAATTAAAAATCATATAAACCAATTTTCCTTAGGATATTGAAAAGGTTAAGTTGGAAGATGGATGGAAAAATTAGATATTCATTCCAATGAGCAAAATTAGAGGTTATCCTATTGAAGATGATGATTGATAATATTTTAATGCTGTTCAAGTCATTTATTTAATTTATAATTTCAAAAATGTGAAGAAAAGGTACCACCTTCTCCATCAAAAGTGATTCCATCAATTTTAAGTTTTGGACTTTAGGGATTACAAGGAGTATTTTAAAAATTCTATGGTTATTTACTAATCAAATTAATTTTCTAAGAATTTCTTTCAGCAAATGTTTTCAAAGGTGATGTTACTTTTAAATTAGATAACTAATCCCAAAATATATCATGAAAGAATTAATGCTTTTTTAAATCAGCATATCCATCTCCCTAATTATTAATATATAATTTTATACTTTAACACCTAGACGTTCTTAAGGATTACTCTTTAAAATTTATTTAATTAAATCTATACTTTGTAATGACATCTTTTCAGGATATATAGGTTAATTTTCAATAATTCTTTAGGATATCATCTTAAAATCATTATTGGAATCTCTAAATGGTGTAAAACCATTTATCATCTCATAAATAAGTATTCCCAAAGTCCAAATGTCTACTTCATATGAATGTCCTGATTTATTCACAATTTCTGGTGCAAGATATTCTGCAGTCCCAGCAACCTTTTCAATTTTTAAATATTTATTAATTTACAGTATATGATTTCTCTCCATTTTCTCTTCTCATAGTAGCTAATCCAAAATCTGTTAATTTTACATGTCCTGTTGTTGTTAACAATAAGTTTTCTGGTTTTAAATCTCTATATATCACTTTTAATTTTGTATTTAAGTATTCAAGAGCCAATACTACCTCTGCAGCTACAAATTTAACTACATTTTCTGGTAATCCTGTCTTTACTTAACTCAATATCTTATAGAATTCACCACCTGCTATATATTCCATTACAAAATAAATATGAGAATTTGTTTGAAATGCATATTTCAATCGAACTATAAAAGGATGCTTGCTCTACTTTAAAACATTCCTTTCCAATACTGTATTACTTTATAACTTATTTTTAAAGATCTTCTCCTTCTCTATCTACTTCATTGCATATATTTTATTTGTCGTTTTCTATTTCACCTTATATACTACCCCAAATGCTCCCTTATTATACAATATTATCTTACATAACCTAATTTATCAACTTTTATGAAATCATCTCTATTCACCTAACACTTTGCTTTTTATACTCCCAACGCATTACTACTTCCAACTAAGTTTTAACTACAATTCATTGATTAGGTAACTTTCAATTTAGTTTACTCTACTTCCTAAACTACAATATTAGCAATAGAGCTTCTCTCTGAATGTGTATCACCTTTTGGACAACAATTACCCATAAATATTTAATTATAGTATCAATTCAGTTTACTTAGACTTATAGCTATACTCATCCATTTTTAAACTCAATTAACTTTTCAAGAAAAGATACCATTTAGTTTCATGATATCACCTTAAGCTATTCTCTTTTTCAGGTTTTGCTAGTAAACTGTAACTTATTATAGAATGGCCATAATTATTAGAAATTTAACTCTAAATCAAATCCTTTCTTAATTAGCAACTCTACATCCTTAAATAGTAAATTAAACTTCATTAGCTCTATTTATTAGTTTAAGAAATAGAAATAAAAATATATCTAATAGCTAAAAGTAAATTATAATGATTATAGATATATATTTATATAAAACTATTTTTATAGATTTTCAATAGCGATATACTTTTAGTATTTATTTAATATATATTTTAGTATCACCTTATAATAATATATGATGTACATATATTTCCTATTATTAAAAGCACATTAATTATTGTTAGAATATAATTTTTGATAAATAAAAATTTTATTCATTAAATTCAACTAGATTCAAAAATCATTTTTTTTGCTTTTTTTCTTTTTTAATATTCTCTAGAGGTCTTAATCCATCTTACCACTAAACCGTTGACATTTTAATTGAAGGTATAAACATATGTTTAACATTTTAAAGATTTTTTTCATTAAACTTCATTAAATATGGAGGGTAATTTGAATCTGAATCAAAAGCTATATTAATGAAATTAAAATATTACCATTATAAGTAAGTTTGGCTAATTTTCCTCCACTAATACTCATAGATTTCTTTTTCTATATCTCTTCTTTATAATTAGGTAAAAATTCAGGGAAAACATCTTTACGTTACGTTTTTGGAACAGTAGTCCAATTACGTTCTTTATCAAGAAGACTTTTATCAGTTTTTGCATAAGATCTTAGACCAGTTTCAAATTCTGCTTAACTTAAATGAGGAGTTGGACCAATTCTACCTTTTAGAAGATGAAGAACAGGTGTAGAATTACCATTATAATTTACATCCCTAGAGAGGTGTTTGTCTTTCTAAGACTCTATTTTTTAATCACCTCTTGAGAACGTTTGATTTGGAATTCTTGCCAATTTAGCTTTCATTTCTGCCTAATGTCATGATAGAGATTCTACATGATCTAAATTTCTTAACTAAAGCACAAATTCAATATCCTTTTCAGTGATATAAGGTTCAACTAAAAAATGGCTATAGTAATTAACATTTCTAGGTATTCCATGTCTTTCAGGATTTTTTAGAGTTTAAGATTTCTCAGGTTTTCGGATGGCAGTTTGAGAAGCACTTTTTGGTAATTGCTTTTTCATATATTATATTAATTTAATTATTGAATTTTCAAAGATTTTTAATATTACCTTAAGATTTAGAGAGTATTGAAACAATCAAAATGAAAGGAATTGAACAAGTAATGAAAATTGAGTTTAACTTGTTGAATATATATTATTAATATAAATAATTTTGAAAGTTAAAACTTTAATGGGATCATGTTGCACTAGTTCTTAAGGATAAGATAAGAATTGTTAGATCATCTTATAAACATAAATACAAAATACTATAATTTCAGACTTTGATCTTAAATATCATAAACAAATTCAATTCATTTAAGGTAGAATAGCTAGCTATATTATTTAAGCTTGTGCAAGAGGATATTTAGTAAGAAAAAGGTACTAAAGCCTTATAAAGAAGTTGAAAAAATAGAAAGTGTTAAATAAAGAATAAAATCATTATTCTAATGAGTTAAGTTTCAAAGACACCTACCATTTTCAAGATATGAAAGCAACTTAAATACATAAAAATTAAGATTAATAAGTATATAAAGTGAAGAAATTAGCAAAAGTACCTGATTATTTGAGTATAAGAGTGAATAAGGTAATATGACATTTTATTTAAATTGAAAGATTCTGTAATTATATACAACTTTTAAATATGACAGTGAAGAAGATAATTAATTTAATTTTCCAATATATTAATTAGATGACGGTAGCATTTATCATGGATAATGGAAAAATGGGTAAGAAAAATCATTATTCAGTCTTAGACATGGATGTGGTAAATAATATTGGTTAAATGGAACTTTTTATGAAGGATATTGGGCATTCAATATGTTTGATGGTCGTGGTAGATTAGTTCATAGCGATGGAAATATTTATGAAGGAGAATTTAAAAATGATAAGGCTTTTGGAAAAGTAATTTAAATCTTCATAGAAAGGGGGTATTCTACAGTATTGATGGATTAAAATATGTTGGTTAATGGGAAAATGATGTATAAAATGGACGTGGAATGGAAATTTGGCATGATGGAACTACTTATGATGGAGAATATAGAAATGGATTAAAAAATGGATAAGGTGTATTTAAATGGTCAGATGGGTCAGTTTATACTGGATAATTTGTTGATGGTAATATTGAAGGAATTGGTAAATTTTAATGGGAGGATGGTAGAATATATTAAGGATCTTGGAAAAATAATTGTATGCATGGACATGGAGTATATTATATATTTTCAATTATATTTATAGTAATTTATTTGGCCAGAAAATAAGGGAATATATGAAGGGAATTATAATAATGGAGTTAAAGAAGGTTAAGGTCACTTTGAATGGCCAGATGGTAGAGTAATAATACATTTCTTTATTTCATAGTTTTACAAAGGAGAATGGTAAAATAATAAATAACATGGAACTGGAGTTTATTTAGGCATTAATGGAATTTAAAAAGAAGGTGAATGGGCTGATGGAAGACTTGTCAGATGGATTAAAGGTAAAGCAAGATTATCAATTGTATGATATTTATTTCAACACTTACTTTTTTCTCAGTTTTCCGATATTTATTTATTATAAATAAATTTTAAATTGGGATCAAACTAATAATTCAAATATTTATTATATAATTTTTTTAATCTATCTTACTAGACTATTCAATTTTATTCAAAATATTCCAAGGTCTGAATTTTAATTACGCTTCTTACTATAATCAAAGCTTAATTTATATATAATTTATAATTATAATAAAAAATTAATGTTACAAAAGCTTATGAGAAAATCTTTTGTAAATTTTTAAATGGATATAGTAAAATTATAGAAAGAATATATATTTTATAATCTTTATATCAGAAAAAATTATTTATTTATTTTTCGCAAATGATTAAATATGTTTAATGAGAAAAAAAAAATAGTAAATATATATTCATATGAATATATTATTTATTAATTTCACAAATATTTAACTAAAAGATTTTATTAGAAAATTTTGAGATTATATTTTCACTTTTCTAACATCAATAGCAATAGATTAAAATAATCACTTGAAATATATACAAAGATTGAATCCATTATTTATTTAATCATTTTAGCCTTAGATCTGAAAATTGAAAGACAGATATTAAGATTAAATTGATAGATTATAGAAAGTAATCTTTAATTTATTGGAATTTAATAAAGTGAAATAATGATTAATAAAAATTTTTATTATCAAATTCATAATCTCAATTTTGATAAATTGGATCTATTTACTAATATTGGTTCCATATTAATTTCATCTTTAACCTTGACTAATTCTTCCAGATTGCTACTTTTATTATTATTGTCTCCTATTGTCATATCAAGATTAGGATATTGATCCTTAAAATCAGTATTTTATTAATTTTTTTTTCTTGATTTATTTTATTAATCTTTAGGGAGCTATGATTCTGCAATTAAATCATAAATATTGAGCCTATTTTCATCTGGGATTGGTTTTAATTCAATAACTAAATAAAAATGAAATAAAATACTTGAAAGATTCTCTTATGGTGTAACTTTTTAAGTATTAAAATTACGATAGACTGATATTTTAAGATAAATAGCAATAGCAATAAAACCAATTAAAATGGCAGCAGCAGTAAAAATAATTCCAATGATATTATTACCAGTCATAATAATAATAACTGCACCTGTATAAATAAATATGATGATTAAAATTAACATTTATTCAATTATATTATACCATTTAACAAAGCAAGGTTCCATTTTGATATGAAATGCTAAAACAATAACTAAGATTCCAATAGAGAATAACATTTAATATTCAAATGCATTATCTAAAGTATTAAAAAATGAACTTAATCCCATAATTAATAATTTAGCTTAAACATAAATAATGATATAAGTAGATTTAAATTTTAAATCTAATGAATGATCACTAAATTAAAATGTAGGTTATAAATAAGTAGAGAGAGGATAATAAATTCCGACACCAATTAATCCTAAACCCATATAAATATAATGATAGTTTGTTAAACATTCAATAGTTTTATCTCTAAAGAATTGATAAGGTAAATTACTATAATCACAAATATATGCATCCATAAAAGTTCTCATTACTGTCATAAAGAAACCACTTAAAATAGATATAACTCTAGGTAAGATAAATTATAAATGAGGGAATCTGGCTAAATTACCATTTTCATCCTATCCAAAAGTATTCTTCTATACAGCATCTAAACTTAAAGATCCTAAGAGACCATAAAGTATTGAGACACCTAAAGAGAAATAAAAGAAGAATGCATAACTATCATAGAATGCTGATCCACTAATAGTATCTGTTCCTGATATTGAAGTACTTCCAAACCATCCTACTTAAGGATTATAAGCCACACTTGCTAAACTATATAAATCATATATTCTAAATATTAAAGCAAGTATATTACTAGAAGTTAATTTAAATTCTATAGATTTTTATTATTAATTTGCTAAGTTTTTTTCATATTCTTCAGTTGCATCAAATAAAGCTTATATTGTTATTTTAGCAACTGCTTTCCAATCACCCATTTTTTTTCTTTTACTATCTAAGATTGGTTTCTTTTCTATTTTTGGTTTTGGTTATGCAGCAGCTAGATTAGGAAAATATTTCTCAATCACATTTATTCTAAACCAATCATTACATGAATAACAACATCTCTTATAACATGGTAGTTTTTAAGCATATACTTACTCTATTTAATACTTTTCTTCATCGTATTTTTATTCCTTTTATTTCTTAGATAATTTTGGAACTCTATTTTCATCATTATTTATTCTTGATTAATTATTAACTTCCTCTTTATATACTTACTTAACTTTTATAGCATCAAATTTAGAGAACTCTGTTTAAACAACATTTGAAATAAAATTTTATCTTAAAAAAGGATTATCTTAGTTTTTATTATTTTATAAAACTTTTTTATTTGAGTATTTAAAATTGATCATTAAAGATTTCATAGATGTTATTAATTAAGGATAAATATGATCAAGAACTAACTATTTCAGATTTTCAAATTAATCTCCATCATAATCTTTTATTATACCTTTAATTAAACCTGCAAATTATATTTCATTTAAACTATAAGTTTAATTAACCCAAATAGTTTTAGCATATTTTTCATAATCAATTAAATCAAAATGCAAATCAGTTAATCTACTAAATTATTATAAATCAGCAAAACAAATTGAAGGTTCTAAACCTTAATCATTATTAGCAAACTCCATAAATACTTCATGCATAAATTCTGCAATCATTTAATCAGATGATGATAAAGAAAAATATTAATCTGATGATTTAATATTTCCTAATGCTTTATCATTTAATTATTTTAATTGGATTTAATTTAAGCTATCAGTTTTTTCACTTTTTATTTCTTAAACTGGTTTATATTTTTATTTATATATAATTTATTTATCCTCAGCTTAAAAGTCTATCTTTTTTATAAGTGTATCAGTTTCCTCAGCTACTTTATAAACAGAATTAAATTATGGAATTAAATCATTCATTTTTTATCCAGTATCTTCATCTAATTTATAAAGATCTCTAAGTTTAATTATTTCAACATTTTTTTAATTTTCTAATTAATTCACTTCTTCAAGTCCACATCTACAACATAAACAATCCATTATATACTTTTTACAACCTGTTAATTCCTATTCTTATATTATATTCTTCTATTTATCTAATAATTCCTATTCTAATAAATTAATATATTCTTAATAAACATTTTTACTTACTAATTTATGATCATACTCTAATTCTGGTCCATCATATTTTATTACATTAATTGGTTCTCCTTAAATTAGATTCTCTGTCAACATCTATTTTAATTATTTAAACTCTTCTTATTTCTATTTCTTTTTTTAACTCTAATTCTTTGTAGCATTTAATTTTGTATAAATTATTTACAATTTATTTAAGTATTTCATATATAATATTCCAACTACACTAATATCACTAAGAACATGATTTTCTCTTAATATTTCCATTACTTTTTTTAAAATTTCTCTCTTCTTTCTTTCAAATTCTTCTCTATTTAATAATAATGATAAAAATAAAGATGCACCTGTTACTCCAATTATACATACAAATAATCCTAAACCAACAGCTCCTTATGCAAAATATTAAAAAGTCGAATCAGCATTATTAAAAAATACTGCCATTGTTGGAACTATTACTCCAAATGGAAATATTACACAACACCATAATAGAGAACTAACAAAAGGTTAAAAAAAATCTTCAAATGCAATTGATTTGTTTTTAATAGTTATCAAAAATTTATACATTAAAAAACATATTGGTATTCCAATAGCTAATGCTTCAAAAAATATTGATGCTGATTAGTTTGTTGTTATCAAAGATATTGGAATGAATAAACATAAGGGAAGTAAAATTCCACAACATACTGCAGTGTTTTAATAAAATCTTTATTAAATCCTCTTTCGATTCTTTAATTCTTCTATTTTCTATAATTCCTTAATATCTTATGCAAATTCATATGTAATTTCTAATGATTTATGTCCAAGAGCTATGTTGATAAGTACAAATATTGTTGGAGTAATTGCTAATACTGCAAACATAGCAGCACCCTCTGTAACTGTTGCTGTGTTATTTTGATCGAATATATACCAAAAAAAATAACTAATTATAAAATAAGATAATAAAAAGCAAACTGAATTTATACAGAATGCCAAATCTGTTAAATTGTAATATTTAAATTCATCAAAAGTAGGAATTACTTAATCAGCTAATTCTTTAGCTCTTTTTATTGCTTTCATTGATTAGATGAAGAAATAAAATAATACCAATAATAAAACTATCATTCCTATTACAATAAATATATATGCTATTATCTAAAGAGATGAATAATGATATAAATTATATAGTGGTAAAAACACACCTATTGGAATGGCTATAAAAAAACATACAAATCCTAAAGAATTTATAAACAACCTCCTTTTATCTAATCCCATCAATGTTAAAGATAACCAAAGAATATTCACAAAAAGTGGACAATAATATAAAATCTCTGTGAAATTAGTTATATCCTTTTCATATTCTAAATAATTCCCCAATTTCAAGCATCCAAAAATTATTGGAGCTCCTATTACTAAAGGTACTAATAAATATGTGTATTATGGTTTTCTATCACTTACAGATATAAACACCCCCAAAAATAAATATAATGGAATTATTATCAACTCTAATGATAAAGATACTATTGCTGTATAATCTATTTTTGATTATTTTAGTTCTGACGCTAACAAAATATAAAATATTATCTCCATAGTTATGTAGGATGCTCCAATAGAATATATTACTAACTTTGAAATTAAAGTCGTAATCTAAACTGTTTATTGGGATTATTAATCTTCTTTTTAAATCTATTATTTCAATATTTTAATCTTAATCCTATCCAATGCTGTTTTTATTATTCCTGCAGGCCAATCAAATAATCTTGTATTTATCATAAAGTATGAAAATGTGATTGCCACAAATATTGGAATATATAATGAATTGATTATGTAATTGATCACTTTCTCAGCAGTTATTATATCCAAACCAATCACATAAGAAAATATTAAAAATCCTAACAAGTAAACAATGAACAAACACCATCCACTTGAAAATAATGCACCAATAATTTAATTATACATACTTTCTACTATCTGTTAAAGAACAGAAACTATTATACCATTCAAAATAGAAATTATAAATGCACTTAAAAATAAAACCATATCATAATCAATTGCACTTTCATTTAAATTAAATACATCAAGATATACATAAAATAAATAAAATGCAGGGATTATGCATCCTAAAGCAAACAATAACAACAGAATTATTGAATTCTTTATGATAATTATTCTAAATATATATAAAGAGTTATATTACCCAAGTGTAAAACTTGTAATCATAAAACCAAATTCAGGCAATTATTGAACAATATTTAATTTAATTGAACTCTTAACTATTATTTCATCCGATTTCAAAGACTAATTATAGTCATAAACTAAGTAATACTATCACACTTGTTAAATATGTAAAATATATGCTCAAATAAACAATTATAGTCAAAATATAATAAAATGATATCTGAAACATATTGTCCATAAATGTACAATTTTTATTGAATTGTTTTTCATAATAAAGTATTTTTTGTCGAAAACTTTCTAAGGTTTAATTAGACAAAGGTTTTCTTTGCTTTTCATCCAATAATTCTAATAATTCAGCGATTTATGGATGATCAGGTCCTTAATATTTATATTCGATCTGATTTATAAAAAAGGATTTCTCAATTTAACGATGTCTAATTATCTGCACTTGATTCTTACTTATTTTATTCCAACAAAGTATTTTAATCCTCTTCATTCTATACTATTTATGATTCATTTTAAGAATTTGTTTAATTCATTCTTATAATTATAATAATAATTTATGTAAAATATGTAAGCATAATTAAAAGATTTCAGTAATAATATGCATATTTTGAAGATAAGAGATCATAAATTAAAAAAAAATATATATGAAGAAATATGAGTTATGATTGACTAAAAAATACATTATATCAAAAATTGAGTAATATGGAAAAATATCATCTCTATATATTTTAAAAGTTTAATAGAATTCAAAAAATAATATTCATTTCTCTATATATTTTAAAAGTTTAATAGAATTCAAAAAATAATATTCATTTTATTTTATTTTATCTATGGGAGCTTCAAATTCAAAAGGAGATGCTGTTTAAGCTTTTGAGAAAATGCCTGTTGAAGAAAAATTAAAGTTTATACTAATTGCTGTTGTGATAAAAATGCATAAAAAAGATATTGAAAAGTTAGAAAAAATTGAGAAAGAATCTGCTGAATTATTTATTTTAATGCTGCTTCTTGCTACTATTGATAAATATATGGATGCTATAGTATTAGGAGATTTAATTATTTTAAAATAATAATTTATTCCTGTTTATCTCTTAAAATCAATATGCTATCTTAAATTATAAATGATAGAAAATGCTGAAAAATGTTTATTAGAAGCTTAAAAGGTAAAGCCAAACTGTACAAGAGTATTCTATTTATCAAGTAAGACTATTTTTAAATTAGCTAAAATTTGTTTGATTAAAGAAGATTATCCTGGAGCTTTAAAAAATTTATGTGAAATTGAGAAAAAAAAGCCTGGACCTAATGTCGATTATTCATTTGGTTTAATTTTTTATTTATTAAAGGTATTGTTTATTAAAAAATGAATGTACACAGATAAGCAATTTAGTATTTCGAGAAAGCTCATACTGCTTTATAAAAGAAAAAATATTTTATTGCTAAAAGTATTTATCAATTTATAAAATCAGTGGAATCTTTTGTAGCTTTAGAAAATTACGATGAGGCTTTGGAATGTTGTGATATAGCAATTTCTTTAAAACCAGGCAAGAAAGAATTGTATGAGAGAAAAGGTTAATAATCTTATTATTTTTAGCTAACTTATTAAAACTTCTTGGGAATGAAGAAGAATCTGAGAAGGTTAGAATACTGGGTTTACACTAAGATGAAAATTACACTTTAAAAATATTTGAAGAAAGTATGCGAATTTTTAATAAATTTAGAAAGAAAATTAGATGAACACCGAAGTTAATTAATTTAAAAATAATCAAAAATTAAGTTAAAATCTGAAATTAAGTAAACTTAATCATAAATCATACTAAATAAATAAAATTAACAAATTGTTTTTTATTTGGATGCCCTTTATTTTACCTTTACTTATTTTTGTGCTTTATATTATAATCCATCTTTAGATTGCACTAATTTAATAGCAAAATACTTATCAACATAAGAAAGAATTAAATCATTAAATTTTACAGATATGGTCAGAATTACAATCTAAAGCTGTTATCCAGATTTAAAAGATCTAGATATATCTAAGATTAGTGATAGATTAAAAATATGGTATGAAAAAAAAATAAAAAATCAAAATGAAGATTCTATGATGTTTTCGAATTTATTTAATATTTTTAAAAATTTAACAAACACATATGTGAGATAAATATTAATTGAGAGATTAAATGAAGACTTTCATAAGAGTTTTGAAAGACAAAATAAAAATAAGGATTTTTACACATACATAACAGCAATATGTCAATAATTTGAACAGTAGGGATATACAATTTATAGATGTAAAAATAGTAGTTTAATATTTAGAACCTGGTAGTGTACTTGGATTAGAGCACGCAATATTAATTTTAGGATTTATGATAAAATTTATAGCATTAGCAGATGATAAAGAAGATTTTGAAGTTCTTATTTATAGAGGTATAAAGTAGGGAGATTTTTCTTAATATTAATAATCATAAAGTAAATTAAAATCTAAAACATAAAATATAACTAAAACTGATGAAGAAGATTAAGCTCTTTAAAATTTGTCTGATTCATAGAAATAAATGTTGGAAAGTGGCTAAATTTATAATTCAGCTTTTCTATCCAAATTTGGGTGAGAGACATACAAGAAAAATGTTGAAAAATATTCATAAAAAATTATAAATAAATATGAAGTTAAAAATATGTTGTAATTTTTTCAATGATTATTTGTATTAATCAATATTTTATATTTATAAGTGATGAGATCTAAACGTAATGCTCGATTTCTGACAAATGACAATTCAAAAGACAATATTATTGATAGCAACAGAAAGCCTTCACCTCCAAAAATTTATACGAATACTTCAAACAACAATTAATTAAGATCTGATAGTGTTTTTTAAAGGTAAGGAAGAAGTATTCCAAAAGATTGTATTGGATTAGGAAATAGCTTTCAATGTAATTGATTGTCATGATGTTAGAAAAATTATCTCTTCCTAAAAAATAGACACCAAGAATGTTGAGTAAAAGTGAAAGGGCCAATTATGGTTAAGAGGTATATATTTAGGTGATAATTAGTAAAGAGTCCTAATTTGATCATATAACCAAAACAAGAACAAAGTATGGAAATAGAATGTCTATCACCAATTAAATAATATACGGATATAAAACTCCCCTTTTTTAGTTCTTAAACTTCATCAAAAAAAGAATAGACAGCAAGAAGAGTAATAAAAGATGCTTCACTCAATAATAGCTAATTCACTTCAAGAGAATCATAAATGAAAACGTCAGATAAATCTAAAATTAATAAAATTAGAAAAACTAATTATCATCACCAATAGGATATTGATCCTTAATATCAGGTTTATGAGTTCAACTAAGAACTTAAAGCATTAAGAGTTAAAAGAACTGAATCTTTTGAATGGTTATAAGAAGACTCATAAGGTTCATAAGAGTCCTCATTTAATCAATTTAAGTAAATAAATTTAGGAACTTATTACATGGATAATTTAAGAAAATATCTAAAGGGTTTAAATTTAGAAGGACTGTATGCTCAATTATATATTAACCATTTTGTATAATAATTTCATAGTCTTCAACTTAGCAAACAATTTCTCTAACCTGAAATTAAAGAAATTGAGCATAGATGTATAAATTTTCAATAGATAAGTAATATAATATAATTATTAAATAGAAAAATAAAAAACATTAGTCTTGGACTTGGATGAAACTCTTATCCATTGTAATGAGTAACCATAAATGAAATTTGATTTTAAAGTTCCAATTTAAATGCCCAATGGATATATTCACGAAGTATACTAAACTATATTAAAAAGGCAGGAATTAGTGTGAGGCCTTTTGCTCAGTAATTTTTACAGGAATGCTCTAAGCATTTTGAAGTTATGATTTTTACTGCATCTCATCCTTTATATGCTGATAAAATAATAGATAAATTAGATCCTACAAAAAAATGGGTCACTTGTAGATTATATAGAGAACATTGCATATAAACATAATAAGGCATATATGTAAAAGATTTGAGAATTTTAAACAGAAATCTCAAGGATATTGTTTTGATTGATAATGCTGCTTATTCTTATGCTTACTAAATTGATAATGGTATTCCTATTATACCTTACATTGATAATGTTAAGGATAATGTAATTCATTTTATTATTTTAGGAATTAATTGGTGTTATAGATTATTTAAAAGTTTTGTTGTAAATTGATGATGTAAGAGACATTAATGGTAAAACATTTTTTTTAAAGTAAATCTAACAATGTCAAAGTCTTGATGAAGCTATGAAACTTCTGTTAGTGATTTGAAAAAATTTTGACTATTATATTTTTTATAATATTGAAATTTAGAAAGTATAATTATTGTAAGTTGTTTATATCATTATTAAATTAAAAAATATTCAATTCTAAATATGAATTCCCAAAACAATATAAACAAATTTAGAATCCCTTATCGTTAAAAAATATAGAAAAGGATTTCATAAATTTACTGAATTTTATAAATATTTCAAAACCAAATGTTGGACTAACATTCTCAATTTAATAAGTTTTATTATGATAATAGAAGCCTTATCTAATATTTTAATTACATCTGGGCAATCTGATGGATTTCCTTAGTATACTTTTGTTTATATTAATATATTGAATTTAAAAAAAAAAGATAAGATAAAATTGTAACACGAATGCTCTCTACTTTTACCTCAGTTTATTTATATAAATAAAAACTTATGAAAATCTTTGAATTTTGAGAAAATGATAAAGAAACCTTTGAAATTCAATATATGATGCGAATTTTGTGCTACTAAAATCTGTCAATCGTTAAGAGATTAGTTAATTGAGTTGTTATTTTCTAGATTCGAAGAAAAAATATAGAGATGAGCCTGAAATATATAAAAAAAAGGAAAAACTAAAATAAGACATTAAATGAAAAAAAAAGTAAACTTGAAAGTTGAATTTAATGTAGGTTATAAGAATAATAGATATTGAATGAAAAATAAAAGATAAAGTAGAAGTACAGGAATTGATTGAGCAAGAGTTAAGTTAACTTTGAATTTCAAAGAAAGAAGATTTGTAAAGTTAAAAAAATAATGTGGATACATTATAGGGCAAGGGCAACTTTTAGATAGAAACTAAAGCTGATATTTTATTATGATGAAACTGATTATCAAATATTTCATATAAAATAACAAAGATGTAGTTTAAGTTTTGAATAAATTGATTATTATTTTTGAACACACAATAGTGAATTATATCTAATTAATTTAAATATGAATAAAGAATAGGATTCTGCAAACTCATCAGTAGACAGTATAGAAATGAGATAGTTTGGAGATGAGCAATTATAGTCTGTAAATGATGGGGCTAAATTACAAACAGCTAAATAAAAGGCTTTGACGATTTCATTAATAAGTATATATTCTGACTAAAATACGAAAAGGGAATAAGAAGAATGTTGAAGATATTTATTAGTATTACAAGGGTAGTGAGATGTAACCTGAAGAAAAATTAAGGTTGCTATTAAAAGTATATAATGATGATGTAGTTGAACATACTGCTGATGCTAAAGAAGAAAAATAGATATAAATAGTTTTACCTGGATGTTATAGAAGATGTAATTTAGATTCAAATAATTAATAGTTCATGAAGCTATACCAATTTTTTATCCAAACAGTCCAGGTCTATTATTTTGGAAAGGATGGGTGGGATTAATAATTTTGTTTTTTTTCTATGAAATACCTATCTATATTTCTTTTGACTAAGAAGTTTGGGAAGTAATATATTTTATAAATTAAGTTTGTACCTGAATGGGCAAAAATATTTATTGCAGTAGTAACTTTAGTTACTTTTTCATTTGATTTGTGCTTAGAATTTCATACAGCTTATTATTCACATGGAAATCTTGTAATGGATAGAGCTTAAATTGCTCATAGATATTTATAAACAAGATTTTTATTTGATTTAATTGCAACCATAGCATTATTAACCAGATAAATAATGCAGACATATAATGAGAGATGGATATATCTTTTATTCTATTTAAAATACCCATCATTAACTAGAATATCATTTTAATTTGGAGAACTCGTCATGCTGCATCGTAGAGTAAGAACTATATTTTAGATTGCAAAAGTATTAGCAGTTTTGTAATTTGTATTTATTGTATATGCCTGTATTTGGTATTTGGCTTGTTTATATGCAACAAACAGAGGATATAATTCTTGGCTGACTCATGAAGGCAATTTTGGAGCCATAAGTGAATTGACACAGATTTAAAAATTTTTTTATTCTTATTATTTTAGTGTTGGTACAACTACTACTACTATGGGATATGGTGATATGTAACCACTAAATACTTTTGAAGTGCTTGTTGGTATGGGTGGCATATTATTTGCAGTTCTTATTTTTGCAGTGATGGTGAATATAATATTTAAGATATTGGAAGAATATGCTATATATGATATCAAACGCTATTAATAACGTTTAATTATCAATAGATATATGATGGTAAAAGAAGTACCTCAAAATCTAAGAGAACGTGTTAGATAATATTTAAATGAACATTGGTTCTAAGAGGGAAATAGGGATATACAAGGAGAATAGGAGATAATAGGGGAATTGGCTCCAGAACTGAAAGCAGAATTGTAATTAGCTAGTTGTGGTAAAATATTACTTTAAATACCATTATTTTGTACAAATTTTTCAAGAGGATTTCTTCGAGAATTATCAGCTTCAATTTAGGAAATGAATTATGCAGAATATGAAATGATATTTTTAGGTTAAGATCCTGAATTTTTAGATGATTAATCAATTTATTTTATAAGTGTAGGTAGTGTTTCCATTTTCCCAAATAATTTTCATAAATAATTACAATTAAAGAAATTAGATAAAGGTGAATATTTTGGAGAATACTCATTTCTTACTGGATTTGAAAGGAAAGCATCAGCCTAAGCTTTACAATACAGTTAATTATACAAAATTAGTAGAGAGGATTTCTTAATAACTTTAGCTAAATTTAATGAAGATTATGAGAAATATTGGATGATTAAAGATAAGATAGAATTTTAAAAAGATTTTTCAGCAATTGGGTAATGCTATACTTGTTAATCTATAACTCATTACAGTACTGAATGCGATGTAACTCATTTAGTAGTAGATTCAAATTAATTAATTGTGTTTAATCAAGATACATCGGAAAGAAAGAAGTTTAAAAGAAAGGAGAAGAAGAAATGGTAGACATTTGTAAGAATAGAATGTTTTAAAAGAGAAGGTGTGATAAATGATTAACATATAGGAGTTAAGTAAGATATGGAATAGAAACTTAAAGAGATAGAATAGATTCAGGAACACTTGGATGATGATGAATTTAAGAAGTTCTAAAATATTTTAAAGACTAATTTTGATAGTTATACAAATCAATATGAAGTGAAAGAAGGTCTGTAAGGTATGGATTAAGCATTTTAATTCACTAATTATTTTACTTAAAATAATTATGGCAATCAATCTGAGTTTATTAATAAATAAGCTCAAACTAAATAACCAGCTCGTGTATCCATAATCCGAAACAAATAAATATCACAACATTCTTAACAGAGGAGTAGATAAACATCTATATAATAGTGATTATTATTCTAATTTAATTTATTTGTAAATATAATAATATAGTTGGTAAAGCAAATTTAAATTTATCATTTAACAATCAATGAAATTGGTTTGTCGTTTAAGGCCATAACCAAATAATACTTCAACTAGTACCGTTAATTCAAGGAAAGAAGTAAGAACTAACATCTTTGCAGGTGTCTTATCAAATGAATGTATCAACAATCAATAATTTTCATAGCTCCTTAGACTCTTGTAGTAAGTTCACGAAATGCTATATCTCAAAAGATCATTTAGGAGTATCTCAAGAGTGACTCAGATATTATGAAGCAAAGATAATCAATTATAGAGAATGCAGATCTATTCTAATTTGATTAAGTTTTTGGTGAAAAAGCTAATTAACAATTAATATACGATTAAGTACTGGCAAGCAAAGTTAATGGATTGATTTCAGGCAATTCAGGAACTTTGCTTGTTATGGGAGGGCCTGAAAGTGGTAAAAAGTATACTTTGAAAGGGGAAGATAAAGGATCAGAGAAAGGATTAGCATTATTAGTTGTTGAAAACACTTTGAATCTAATAGAAGGATCCAAATAATTGAAAGGCAAAGCAAAATTGTTTTGTTCAATATCTCTAGTTAATAATGTTGAAACTGTTGATATGATAGGATCTACTAGAAGTTAGACTATTAAATACAGTTGGATAAAGAGTGGAAGCGAATTTAAGAAAATGTTTAATTAAAGCTTATTTCAATATAAATAATATTTGAAAGAACATTAAGAAATAAAGAATAATCATTTATTTATCAAATTTTTGATTCAACAGGATAAAGAGGAAATATCATAATTTCATTTGATTCTTTTTAATGAGTTTCGAAGAGTTACTTAAGAATCCAAAGACTTTTAAGCCAAATTAAAATAATTACTAATTTAATTGTAAGACTTTTAAGAAAAAGATTTAGACACTAAATCTATTTAATAATTATATACCTCTCTAAGAGAAACAAAATTTAGTAATATTACAACTCTTTTTTGTGTATCTCAAATTTAACAGGATCATATCACTGCTTATATGACACTATAATTTGCAGATGAATTAAGATAATCAACAAAAAACTCTGTCTAACAAAATTAAAGAAATGTTTTCTCTTAAATAGATAATTTATCTAGAACACAATTAAGTCGTGATAACGCTATTGTTACATAATAAGTTACACCAAAATTATCTGTGGTTGATGAAAAAACATCTAGGATAATAAAACCAGGATCGGATCAAATAAATCAATCAAAAGCTTAAAGTATGATAGAAAGATAACCAAGTAGATAGGAAGCAAATTTTAGTAGATAATTTCAAGAATTAAAGGAGTTACTTAAAGAGAAAGAATTGATCAATGATTATAAGTATATATATAATTTGTAATGTTAGAGTTTTGAGGTTCGAAAAAGAATTAAAGAATTTTTATGATGAAAATGCAAGATTATAAAATAAAGTTTATTAGTTGGAAGATTCTTTGAAGCATAGAGATTTGCTAATTTAGTAATTAGAGCATCACATAAATGAAAATAGAAGATAAATGGAGGGTGATAATAATGAAATGGTATAGAAAAAATAAAAGGAAAATGGAGGAGAATTAAATTCAATAGGTTAGTTAAATTTGTAATTGAGACATAGTAATGAAGAATGCGAACTGTAGAAGTAAAAAGTGAGAATGTTAGAGAATGAAATTGAAATGATGAAGGATTAAGAATTCACAAATATAAAACATTATGAAAAGAGAGAAGATGAATTTATGGGTTTAATTCAATAGGAATAAGAGAGAAATAAATAATTATATGAGGAATTAGATTATTTTGCAGTAGAATTGAAGAGTAGGGAATAAGAATTGCAAGTAGCAGAGGACAACAATAAGAAATTAAATAAAGTAATAGAGGAGTAATGCAAAAGAGTTGATGAGGAGAGGTAAAAGAATAAGGAATTGAATGAATGTATAAATGGAATGAAAATGAGACAGGATGAATAAATAAAGGAAAATAATTTGATAGAATAGAGATTTACAAAGTTAAAAGTAAAATTGGATACAGAGAATATGTAGTTGAAATGTGAGAGAGAAAAGTATTTATAGAAGTACAAAGAAAAGTTGAAGAAGTATAAAGTAGTGATGAAGAAATTGGAGTAAGAGAATGGAGAGATGAAAATGGAGAGAATAAAATTATAGACAGAAAATGATTAATTATATGGGATATCAAAATAATTAGAAAATTAATTGGGGAGAGTTCATAGTGAGAGTACTGAAAGAAATGGTGGAAGATAGGATAGTTATGAATAGGATAAAATTAGATAATAGAATCTGTAATTGAATAGTTAATTGAAGTAAGCTGATTATGAAGTAAAGATAATTAAATAATAATTTAGATTTAAGAATTATCGATTTAATTGAATAATGCTATAAAAGAATTGGAGAGATTGAGTGTTGAATTTTAGGGAGTTCAAAAGGAGAATAAGAGATTGTAAGAATAGGTAGAAGAGAAGAGATGTGAAGCAAAAGAGAAAGAATTTATGATTGAGAAAGTTGTAGAGTTAAGTGATAAATAAATGGATGATTTGGAAGGGAAATTTAATAGACTGACTGCATAGGTGAATGGTTTATAGTAAGAGAAAAAGTCATTGAATATGGAGAATTAGAATTTGAAATAGTAATTAGAATAATTGGAAGGAAATGATGTAGTTTTAGAGAAGCGAATAGTAAAATTGAAAAAGGAAAATAAGGATCTGAGTAATTAAATAAAGCAATTGAATTAAAATATGAAAGAAATGATAGTAGAGAAAAATGGAGATATGAGAAATAGTTCATTAAATAGATAATAGTTATAGAATTAATCTTACAGATCCTAAAGATTATTTGAGAATGATAGTGATAGTGATGATGATATTTGATAATTAATTAAATAATTATAATGCTAATAATATTATTACTACTTCACTTAGGAAATTGTGGGTATGTTATTAAAAGATAACAAATAGACACATATCTAGCTGGGATGTATAATTAGATTATACAAATGCAGGATATGCAAGTCGTTTTACAATTCCATTCAAATTAAGTAATCCATTACCAAATTTTGGGTACCTGAGGATGAAATTCCCATTTGCACTTCATTATACAAACACAAACAATGTACCTGATAATGTTATTGTAACATTTAAATAAGTATTTTGATGAAAAGATATTATAGGCTAAAGGAAACTACTAATGCGGAGAGGAATATGAGTAGAGTGCATAAGTATTTGTAAATAATGGAGAGAATAATGCTTACTATATAAAATTTGGTATTGAATTAACATCAAATGAATACTATTATGTGAATATACATATTAGTGGCAAGAATCTTAATATCCAGTCATCTGGAGTAAAAGAACCAATTTAATTGGCTACAGTTACATCTATATCTGCCATTGCAATGATTATCGATTATACTCCTGTTGGTGGAATCTTTGCTTTGGATCTAGAACCAAGTTCTGATATGAGATGTTCAATTAGTGAGACAATCAATACTATGAACTAATTATATAATGTGACTGTAGGGGTTTAATTCAAGAAGTAGATGAATGAAGGTGCTAGAGTATAACTCATCTTTAATTCTGATTTTAATTTTGAAGGATCTTGTACTTTATAAAATGACATTCCTTATCAATGTACTTTAGCATCGAACATGATTGTTTACTTAATCAAATAATACATATTAGTCAATGATTGGCTATACTTTTAAGTTACTGTAAGAAATCCTTTGAGAGTAACTCTTCCTACTTCTCTAGAAATAAGATCCCTTTAACAATATGCTAATACTATTAATGAAAGAACTGTATCTCAACCTGTATTCTAAGTCAAATAAGTTTTCTTATCTACACATAAATTATACTTGGGTTGGGGTTTAGAATATTCATCTAGATCATCTTATTATTATCCTTTCCCAATTATTGTTTTTAGGGGAGATGTTGCTGGTAAATATACTCCTTATAATGCATTTAAATGGTAATTTGCTATGGCCACAGATTTACCTGAAGACATTCAATTATAAATTGAAGTTTCAACTCCTATGAAATTTAAAAGTTATTTGATGAGTATTAGTCACAATCTTCCCTCTTATCCTGGAAAATAAAGTCAATGTGTTTTTACCAATATCAATAGACTCTCTCAATCCAAAATTGTTTGTTACAATGTAGGCTAATTATATTTGTCTACCACTTATTATATTGGATGTAGAGCAACCTTTCCATATGATTAATTTAACCTACCTTTAGAATAAAAGTTTGGATCTATGAATATATACACTGTCACTAATGGAATTAAAGATACTCTATCTGTCATTGTTGAGTATTATTAATTATCTATAATAGATCTAATCCAGTTGAATATATATAAACCAATAATAATCCTGATTGGCTCAATCCTTCATATGATGGTACTGTAGTATCTAGTTAGAAAATGGATGTCACAATTCTTAATGATCCACTTACAAACACACTTGGTATTATACCTAATTTAGATGATGGAGATATCGAATTAATTAGATTAAAATTCAATCTTGCCATTAAAATTGATAAAATTATCACTCCAGCAACAACTCCAGTCCTTGGAACTTAGAAAATAGCTTATAGTGCTGGTATAATTATCATTGCTAATAATAACATTTAAATGTCATCTACAGATCCAGCTAATCTTGAATGTGCAAGTCTTACTGCTTCATAATTTTTCAAATATGATTACAAATCCTCTAATTTAGCTAATTTTTTAGCTATTACAGTTGCAAGTTCAGATGCTCAAGGTCTCTTAAATATGTTTGTTTACAATACAAATGAATTGTAAACAAAATTTTTATAATTTGCAATAAGTAATTTACAAGCAAAATTTCATTCTTCATTGTATGCTGATGAACATTTGCTTGATTTTTATATTGGATCATTTGATTAGATTGAAAGTACTTATCCTATTTTCAAATAATCTTTTTTAACAAATGCTTACACAATAACTTCTCCTGCTCCATCATACATTAGATTAGGAATAGTTAACTATTTTTCAAGTTCTTCTTCTGGAAACACTTGTGATTACTTTCCAACATTGATTAGATTATCTGGGTACTTTTAAGATACTGATGTAGAAAATGCTCAAACTAAGATTTCACTATTTTTTACAAATCTTTAACCAATATACATATCATCAGACTTTGAAAATGATAATAGAGTGTATTGCAAATATACAGGTTAAACTTAACCAACTTGTTCATATTTTTCATCAGGTTTATTAGGGAATGGATAATCCTATCTAAATTATGAAAGATTAGATATAGAATTTGAATCATTAGCAACTAATCAAGCAGATGCATTTTAATTATTGATACCTGTAAAAACATTTGCATCTAATCCAAAAGTTAGTTTTTTTCTAGCAGCTGTTGTTGACATAAATGGATTAATTGAAATAAGAACATCCTTCAGATTAACTGGTCATGATAATATCAACAGTAAATAATATACATTTCCAGTTGGAGTACCAGCATTAGGTAATGGATTTGCAAGAGCTGGAATCACTACTGCATCAGATTAGTTTGGGAATCCAGCACCATACTAATTATAAGTTAGTTCTGCTTTAACTGTAGGTAAAAATAATACCGATTTGACTTTCTTTATTGGTCACAATGATGTTAGTTTTGTAAATATAAATACTGTTGCAAATGATAATTAAAATGGTGGTGGATTTACTTTAGTTTCTACTTCACCATTTTACACTAGTGATTCAATAATAAAATCACCAATATCTGTGGATTCATCTAAAGTCTCTGGATGTGTTACATTTGAATATTTAACTAAGTTTGTTATATTTTGTCCAACAGATAAGGCTAGTGATTCTCCATTAACAACATTAACAATTAAAGCAGGAAATCTACCATTCAATAATGGTGATAAATTACCATACAGAACTGTCTATGCATGGAGTGATAAAGTAAATGGTCTTGGTATTTTCAGAGTAGATTCTGATACTTTGATTACTCTTAAAGGTGTAGTCAAAATATTATAAGTTTGGCCAAAATTAGAAATAGGACAAAAATAATAGAGAGTTCAAATTAGATTTTATACTACAAACCCAATTCCTAATTAAGCAACTATTAGATTAGAATTTCTTGATGCATCTTCAATTAAATTTGATGCTATTAATAAAGGATCTAGATGTTTAATAGAAACTGCTCTTTATGGAATTTTAAGTCACACTTGTACAGTCTCTAGGTCTACGTCTGGTGCATAAGTACACTTTTTATTTAAAATAACTAATTGCGATAGTTGTCCATGGACTAATGGATAATTTATACTTAATTTTTGGGGATTGAATAGTTAATATTCAGGAACTGTTTCAAAGTCTTCATTTGATATAAGAATTATGTCAGAGTATTTGAATACTATAGATTTATCTAAAGTTTAAGGAGCTATTGATTATGATGACAATCCAGATGTAAAATATGAGGCATTCTTTGGGAATCCCAAATTCTAATTTTATAATAGAAGAGCAAAAGGATAAATTAGTGTAGATTTCTAGTTTACTCGTAGTATATGGAAGTAAGAATATGTATTGATTAACATTGGTGGATTTTTTGATGATAATTAAAGAAATAAAAATAATATAATTTGTTAGGTATAATAATTAGGATAACCATCATATCTATTTGGACAATCAGATTATACTCTAGATAGAGGTAGTTCAGTAAGTGGAATAAAATTATATCCAATTGATGATATAATAGGATCATAGATTTTTACATTAAAATGTTATGGGATGGTTATACCATTTAGTTTAAATCCAGAACCTATGATTGCTAGTCTTATTTTATAAGGAACATTTCTAATTATATAATCATCAGGCACTATATCTTTGGACTCATTATATGAAGAAACTATTTTGCCTATCAAAAATATTCAATTAACTTAAAAATTAAATAATTTATGTGGATCAACAACTGACTTTTTTATTAATGTTACAACTACTTTAATTGATGTTAAATTGGGTACATCTATATTTGTTGTATTCCCAACTACTTATCCATTCATTGTTTCAAGTAACCTCACTTATTGTTCTTTAAATAGTTTATTTGTGGCCTGTTCTGTAGATGTAGAAAATACAGTGATATTAGAAAACTTTGATATTTCAATACCAAAAGGTTAAGAAATGTAAATCAGAATTTATGGAGCTTAAAATTCAGCTATTTTTAATGATTAAGCAAATGAAATCTTTGTAGCTTTCACTAATAATATAGATACTACAGTATTAGGAGAATATGGAGTTATTTATGATTATATTGGGTAAGATATGGTCACAACTCCTCCAATAAATATATTAACTTTATGGATTGATACAACTCAATAATATATAAGATCTTTTAGTACAATTACTTTTAAGGTTACATTTCCTCCAGGAGCTATTGAAGTTTCTAATTTAATTTAAATAGAATTTCCACCTGCTTGGGATATGATTATAAATTATAAGTTACCAATTTGTTCACTTTATGATCAGAATAATATTACTAATTATGCAAAATCTTGTATTAATTTTGGAAATAGAGTAACCATTACAATAAAATAAAGTGATTACATAGGCTCATAATATTATTATTTGATATTAGCTAATGTGCGTAATCCTGATTATGCTGTTTGTGGAATAAATATGTGGACACTTACAGTTCTGAATTCAACTTATGTATTTGGTAGATCACATGCCCCTAATTTTAATATCCCAATTTTCCCATTTATTTCAAATCCAAATTAAGTTACACTTAAATGGATAGATATGAATACTAAGTAAAGTATTCGAACTTTGTAGGTGAAAACAGGCATTTTTAATCAAGTGATAGGATTAGCATCTGATGCAGGTTTATTTTTGCGTACCTTCTAAATTTATAGTGATAATCCTTATTTTACTGCTAACCCTACTAATACAATTGCTCCTATGGGATAAGCATATACAACATTTACAATTGCAGGTACAAGTAAAGCTCCATAAGGATTATAATTAATTGAATTTGCAAAAACAGATGATTTTGAAAAACATACATAATTACCTTTCCTTAGAGTATTCCTTTCATAAACCTTCTGCACTTTAAACACTGAAATGACACTATATCAACTAACTCTAGGAGGTTAAGCACTTCCAATTTTATTCAATCTCACAGATTGTTAACCTGCAGCTAATCTTCGTATTGAAGCTACCTCTGATACAGATAAGATTTATTTTAAAAGTAAATCATCCATTACTTTTGGACTCAATCAAAAAGTTGGTGCCTTTCTTTTTGCATCTGAAGATAGTGGTATTAGTGTTGGTGATTCAGGATTAATCTCATTTTAAGTTTCTGGTTCATACTAAAAATATTATACTACAGTAAATCCTATCAGTTATAGAATTATTGATATTAATAAAAAAAGACCACTCTCAAATCTCTATAGTATAGATAGAGGTTCTAACTATGTTAAATTTTTAGTAACTTGTAATCAATATGCTGTTGTATATTATTATATTTCAATCAATGGATCTGAAATTTTATATCCAGAAGAAATCCAATAAAAAACATTTCTATGGATAGAACCATCTATTGATGATTATTATCATTAATTCTTTGGTTTAAAAAATATATTTATTCCGTTTAAAAATTATACAGTAGTTGTAAGTGGACTTAGACCATCTACTACTTATAATATAACAACTGTATGCAAAAATGTTGAAACAAAGTTTAGTACTGCTTAAACAATATTACAAACAACAAAATCTAATAATGGAAAGTCCTTTTATATTGATCTTATTTTTGATAGTGAAATTGACTTAGAATTTTCCATTAGTATTACTTGTTTCTTAACACAACAATTTAAAGTTCCAGCAAGACTTATTCGTAATTCTATTAATAGTTGGTGTTCATTATAAAGAAGACGTCTATTAAGCAATACAACTAATGTTTATAGTGAAAAAAATGTGAGAATGTATGTCAGTTTAATTGACTTTGAACTACAAGATACAGTTACAGCTTCTTTATTAGCTAAAGGAATAAATAAAACATAATTTATAGCTGATTTATTTGAATAAGTTGCAGGATTACCCAATTTAGTTAAGTTATCTGATTTAACAGCCATCTCAACAACTGTTCCAATATTCTAATAAGAAGTTGTTGTTAATATTACTAATAATTCAATCCTTTTATAAAATATCTCTTTAGATCAAGAAGGTTTTGTATATTGTATGATTGATTTCAATAATAGAACAAAAATGCCCACCTTTTATGATTTGAGATAAGGTAATGCTTTAAGGAAACCAGAAAATGCTACATATTATGAAAGATAAAGATTTAATAAATCTACATCACTCAATTTCACATTTGATCAGTTGATACATTATACTAATTATTCAATATATTATTATGCATCCAATGATGATCCTAGTGAGCATTAAATAAGAACTTATGTATATCAAATCAATTTTAGAACTGAACCAAAATATGAAATGTGGGCAAATATCATAATCATCATTTTGAGCATGAATATTATTCTTATATGAAACAGAATTATTGTATTTATTATAAAATTATCATTAAAATTGTTAACTAGATATATTAAATTTAATTGTGATCCATAAACAAACAAATTAATCAATGCTTTTCAAATACATGATGGAGCAAATCTTAAACCAACAATATAATTATTGATTAAGGAGCTACTCTAGCAAAATATACTGGTAAACCCACCCATAATCCTGTAAATTTCTCTCTTTATATCGTCTTTAACAAACAATCACCAACTCCTGAATATGGATACTTTCCATTTGCTTAAACTTTCATTTTCTAAAGTTTAGTTTTCATATTATCAAAAGGTAATGATAAAACAGATGTAACCACACCAGCCCCAACTGAAGCCCTAATTTATTAAATTTCTTATACATGATTCTATCAGACATTGTCTCTTTTTTTCTTAAAAATATCTTCATACACCATTGTTTAATCTCATCATATGTAGTTAATTAGCCTACTGTTATTGCTATTGCTCTTAAAACTGTAGGAGTAGCTCCTCTCCATAAAGTAGGTATTCCTTCCTCCTTTGTTATTCTATATAGAGCATCAAATGCATTTTTATAGTTCCTACGTTCTGCAATAGGTAAAGTTGCATCTGCCTAAAATCTTACTAGACAAATATCTGTTGGGTTGCCAATCAAAGCTCCACATAAACCAGAAAAAGAAGATGCACCCACTTTCTCTAAAAAACTTAGATCTCCTAATTAGTTTATTGAATTATATATACTTTTTTGATTGATCTTTACTTAATCTGCAATCACCTTATAAATTCCTAATCTAGCTGTGGCATAAGTTAATTGTCTAAGCATAGCAGATCCTAATCTAAAATGTTATATAGGATTTCTAATACCCCTAATAGAACCCTTTGATACCTTCTACCTTATACATCTCTCTTGCTACATCTATTGGCGAAACCTTTGTTGAACCATGACTTATGCCTTTACTTTCACTGTAAATTTATAGTCTGACCTTCCATGTATCCAAAGGCATAATAACAGCCACTGCTGTACATCCTGAAATGCCACCAAAAAGAAATGGTTTTATGTATGATGCTTTATTATTCTAATTAGACATATAAATATTAATTCTGGCATTTATTTTATAATCTGCGACCTTTATGTATTGAGTAGATACATATAATAAAAATTATTAAATTTTTCTTTTTAAGATCAAATATGATTGCATTTTTAAAGATTCATTCTATAATTTATTCATTTATTTTATTCCATAATAATATTTTATATAATTATTGAACTATTTAATAAAACCATATTTTTTTGTTAAAGTTATTAGTTATTTGTTAAAATGTTAAATAAGACATTATACTTTTCCAAATTGGTTTCTTATGCTTAAAGAAATTGATATCTTGAATATTCAGTTAAAATCCCCAAATATTATTTTATGAGTAACACAAGCACAATTCTTTATTTTAACTATTTAATAGAATCTATAAAATATAAGATTACTTAATAAATAATATTATGATGAGTTATAGATTATAATGAAAAATATCATATTGGATTATATATATTTATAATAATCACTATGATGGATAGTTGAACTGCTAATTAGCTTATTAAACAAATCCTTTTAAAAATCCTTATTATGCTAATCCTTAACCTAAACTTTTGGTAGCCATTCCTGTTTATGGTTATTACAATTATTAATATTAATAATTCTATTAAGGAGGATATTATTAAGGTGGATAGACTTATTAAGGAGGATATTCTTATTGAGGTGGAAATAATTATTATGGGGGAAATTGCTATTATTAAGGAGGAGGATATTAATTAGGTTATTATGGATATTATTAGTAATTTTAGGATAGATATTTTTAGCTGTCTTAATCATTTTAAAATTAAGGATTTTAAGGATAGACATTATATTATTGATTAGGTGGTATTCCTATATTTTATTGGGAGATATTATTGCCTGGCATTTGATATTAATTAACTTAAATGTCTAATATATATAGATTATAGATATACTATGTGGTGGTTTAGGAGGTATATTCATTAATTCCATATACTCAACTAATTAATCAGGTAATTCAGCTAAGACTTCTTTAGATAATAAAGCAGGATCATTTTTAAATTCATTAAAAGGTACAAATTAAACTAGATCTCGAATAGCTTTATTTCCTTTACTATCAACCATACTTTTATCATCATTATCCAAGATAGACATATTCTTAAAATTGGCATCTCCAATACCAATGATAATGACTGATAATGGTAAATGTGAAGATGCTATTATATCATCTATAGATGCTTGCATATCATTTGTCTATCCATCTGTTAAGATCATTAAAATTAAATAATTTTCACTTCCTTAATTTTTGCATGTTTAAGCCATATCCATAGCATTCTTTAAAATTGGATGTAAATATGTTGGACCATCAAAAGCTAAACGATGTAAAGAACTTCTGTAACATTATACTATTCCATCTAAACCATATACTCTAAATAACATATAAATAATAAATCTTACTCTGGATCATCAGGATTATCATTAAGTGGAAATAAATGAAGAGTTTGATTTGTATTAATCAAATTCATTCTTGGTTTACATCCAAAACCATAAATTGGTACCTTCTTATCATGATCATAATTTATTAAAATTTCTACTACACTAATTATTGCTTATAAATATTGACTTGGAGCACCATTTTATGTCATAAAATGTAATGATTTTGGATCATTAGGATTACCATTAGATGCTGTAAAATCAATTGCTACAATCAAATTTAATTATTATCCTCCTGCACAATAATCTAAAAATGTAAAACGAGTTTTTAATTAAAATTTATTAAATTAAAGAATTCCTGCAGATTCATTCTTTTTCATCTTATTTCTAAATTCCTTTTTTAAGATTTTACTCTATAAACTATGTTCTTTCAGTTCTTCTACACAAAATGTTGTTTCTCCTAAATAAATATGCTTTCCTGAACTTCTATAATCCCATAATTCAACTTTGATTGGCATTTAATAATCTCCATTACATAATTTTTAAGCTTTGCAATTAATTTACTTCCATAAAGGTTAAGTTGTATCTTTTGCAAATTCAGTTTCATAAACCAGAACTGGATTATTATCATCTTTTCTTAATCTATAAAATCTTAAAAATGGACATGTCCCATGCCAAAACCAAAATCTTGTTTCTGGTATACTTTAACCAGATAAAGTAATTATGAGTTCATCATTACATGATTTAACTTGATCTGCTTTTACTATAATTTTCCCACTTTTCTTTCCTGAAATATTTACTAAATCTCCCATAAAGATTTAATCTTTTGAACCAGCTATTTCAGCTACTGTTGTTTCTGCAATACCAATAATCTTATATATTTAATATAAATACTTTTGATTAAGTTGGACTAATGTAATGATGGACTTCCATTTTTAAATGTTATTAAACTTCAAAATGATATTCTAATTAAATTGATGTTGCAAAATTGGGGTTTAAATTGTTCCAAATCAACTCAGTTTATCCAATTTTAGTCCCTATATAAAATAATTTGATTTTTTACAATAATTGTTGTTTTTTTAATACATAATAACATAAGGATCACTGACTGTTACTGTGTCTAAATCATCTAATTATCTGCAACTTATAAATAATTCAAGCTTTTGAATTGCTTCAGAAAACTAACTTTATTCAATTTGACTATTATGCATCATTGTGTTTATTTTTATTTAATTATTAGTAAATAAATTATTTCAGAATGATTACATATAGAAACTTATTAGTATTAGTATGTATTTAAATATATATATAAAACTTCAATAATTTCAATTCTATTTATTTTAATCCTAATTTTATTATTCTCTTTCATTATCTTCCTGAATTTCTTTTTAAGACTAAATTAGAGGAAAGGATTCTTCTTGATTTTGATTTTGGCTATTTTCATTCTCTTCTGGATTTTTAAATATTTAAGATACTTGTAAAATAGGTTATGTTTATATTTAGGGTTCTAAAATAAACTAAAATATTACAATGATTAGATATTAATCCATCTAATAGAGTTGAAGTTTGATTTTAGTTCTATAATGAATTTTATTAATTAGACACGGTAAAATTTTCATTAAAATTATTCTGTTATCCTTAATTGGTTTAAAATGGGGTTTATATATGACCATAAACTTAAGGGTAGTAATGTTAACTATAAGTTTATGATCCCTGACCTTATTCTTATTGTTAAAATATTATTGGTTATTTTAAACTAACTTCTTATTATTATCTTAAATCGATAATTGTTTTTTGTCCTGTTTAAAAATCTTCATCTTCTTCCCCCAATAAACGATGTAAAGTACCTTATCTCTAAAAATTTTTAGATTAATAATATTAATCAAAATTAAAATTTGACCCATATTGAGGATAATTCTTTTGCTCTTTACTTCCAGGTATTTTACAAATAGTAGTCATATAATTTACAACTTAATCAGGTAATTCAGAAAGTACTTCTTCAGCAAACTTTTTTAATTCAGATTTGTAATTATTAAAAACGACAAATTTAACTAGATCACGAGTTGCTTTTCTTCCTTATATATCTTCTTCCATTAATTAATTATTGTTTAATCTTTACATTAATTTGAAATCAGCATCTCCAATTCCAATAATAATAATAGAAATAGGCAATTCACAACAATCAACTATAGACTCAAAAGTACCATCGAAATCACTTATAATTCCATCTGTCAATATTGTTAATACAACATATTTCTCACTTCCAGCTGTTTTAAATCCTTTAGCTATTCTCATAGCCTCTCTTACTGTTGGTCTAAATGTTGTTGGTCCTGAAAATTTTACTGTTTTAACAAAATTTCTATAAGTTTCAAATACTCCAATCAAATCAGTAACTCTACAATAATTTTCATATCTTACTCTGGATCTTCCAAATTATTATTTAAAGGATAACAATGATGAGCTTTACCATTCAATTCAAATCCAAAACCATATAATGGAACTTTTTTATCATGATCATATTAAATTAAAATTTCAGACACATTTCTTAAGGCTTATTCATATTAACTAAGTTTTTTATTTGTTCTATCAAAATAATGAAGACTCTATGGATTATTTGGATCTAAATTTGAATCAGTAAAATCAATAGAAATTATTAAATTCAATTATAAACCTTCCTCTAAATACTATTCAAAAGTAGCAATTTCCCTTAACAAACATTTTTCAACATATAATTATCCTGTAATTTTTCTATTTCCTTTATGCTATATATTTCTATGAACTTATTTTTCTTCCATTTATGATACTGATAAATTTATAGATCCTATATAAGTTTCCTATCTACTGCCTTTATCATAAATTTCAATTTATAATACAGCTTCACGATCATTATTACAAATATCTCTAGCCAGTCTTTTAATTTCAGGCCTATATCATAATTTTCATAATTTACCAACTTTTTATCTCAGGATAATTTATAGGCTCTGATTAATAGACTAAATTTGACACATGAGTATCTTAAAATGTTCTAGAAATCTTTATATAAGGTTTAGAAGGTTAGGCTTTGAAAATGCAACATTATGTATATAATTATTTGGCAGCTAATCTTAATAGATTTAAATTACTTAAAATTATTTCTATCATATCATTTTTATATTTCTAATATTCTCCAATTATTACGATTCTTCCAGCTTTCTTACCTTAATTTATAATATCTGTAGAATATATTTAATCTTTTGCAGTTAACAGAGTTTATATATTTAGTTCTGTCTATCCAATTACCTTAAAATATTTTTAAATACTAACATTACTCTATTCTTTATTAGTGTTTAAAACCTAAAATAACACTCTATAAGACATTTCAAATTGATAATTCAATTAAATTGCAGTGCTAAATTGTGGGTTTCGTTGATTTTTTTAAATCTCTGTTTTACCTTTCTCATTCCCTAAAATTACATTTTCTTTTACATTGATTATCTGCATATTCTTTCACTACAACCATACAGTTTATTTCACTATTGTTTTAATTTTAAACTAATTCATAACATTTAATTCTCACTACAAAGAACTTTGATTAACTCATTAAAAATAAAATATTTTCTAAATCATTTATTTTTTTAAATTCTTATTTCATCATTATATTCTCTCAACATAGATATATTGATATTAATTTATATAATACTAAAACATTAAATGGAATAATTGCAGACTTTAAAATCATATTATGATTAGTTAATCAAAGAATTAGAGAAAAAATTTGAAGAAAAGTTATCATAATTAAACAAAAGGTATCATGTAATGGAAACCTTTTTGAAATAAAAGATTAAATAACTAGAAGCAGGAAAAAATCAAAAATCAGAAGATTTGGAAAAAGTGAAATTGAAAGCCAAAATATTCTCATTAGAGAAATAATTATAACTATTAGAATCTAGGGATAACATTTTGCATAGATCAGATTTAAAATCAAATGATGCTTAACCTCCATAAGAAGTATTTTTGAATGTATTAGATTCCGTATTTAAATAATTGGGAAATAATTTTGAATATCCTTAATTCCTGTATCCTTAAATTGATAGTCTTATTCCAAATTTAATTGAACTTTTACCAACTTCACTTGGCNTTAAAATGTTCTAGAAATCTTTATATAAGGTTTAGAAGGTTAGGCTTTGAAAATGCAACATTATGTATATAATTATTTGGCAGCTAATCTTAATAGATTTAAATTACTTAAAATTATTTCTATCATATCATTTTTATATTTCTAATATTCTCCAATTATTACGATTCTTCCAGCTTTCTTACCTTAATTTATAATATCTGTAGAATATATTTAATCTTTTGCAGTTAACAGAGTTTATATATTTAGTTCTGTCTATCCAATTACCTTAAAATATTTTTAAATACTAACATTACTCTATTCTTTATTAGTGTTTAAAACCTAAAATAACACTCTATAAGACATTTCAAATTGATAATTCAATTAAATTGCAGTGCTAAATTGTGGGTTTCGTTGATTTTTTTAAATCTCTGTTTTACCTTTCTCATTCCCTAAAATTACATTTTCTTTTACATTGATTATCTGCATATTCTTTCACTACAACCATACAGTTTATTTCACTATTGTTTTAATTTTAAACTAATTCATAACATTTAATTCTCACTACAAAGAACTTTGATTAACTCATTAAAAATAAAATATTTTCTAAATCATTTATTTTTTTAAATTCTTATTTCATCATTATATTCTCTCAACATAGATATATTGATATTAATTTATATAATACTAAAACATTAAATGGAATAATTGCAGACTTTAAAATCATATTATGATTAGTTAATCAAAGAATTAGAGAAAAAATTTGAAGAAAAGTTATCATAATTAAACAAAAGGTATCATGTAATGGAAACCTTTTTGAAATAAAAGATTAAATAACTAGAAGCAGGAAAAAATCAAAAATCAGAAGATTTGGAAAAAGTGAAATTGAAAGCCAAAATATTCTCATTAGAGAAATAATTATAACTATTAGAATCTAGGGATAACATTTTGCATAGATCAGATTTAAAATCAAATGATGCTTAACCTCCATAAGAAGTATTTTTGAATGTATTAGATTCCGTATTTAAATAATTGGGAAATAATTTTGAATATCCTTAATTCCTGTATCCTTAAATTGATAGTCTTATTCCAAATTTAATTGAACTTTTACCAACTTCACTTGGCTTATTGTCAGATATGACATTTTTACTCTACAAAACTAAATTTTATTCTAATTTTTTAGCAATTCCCTAAAGTATTAAATTATCTAAACTATTTTTTTTAGATAAATAGTTATAAGAAGATAGAATCAAATTAAAAACATTAGAATAACATGTGAATGAAATAATGTTTTGTGGAGGATGCCATTAAAATTTTGAGATTTGTTTCAATCCCCAAACAGAAGAATGGAAAAAAAAGGCTTAAGAAAAAGAAATTGATAAACCTAATGTATTGCAACACTCTTTACAATTAACCTAAAGCACAATTATTTAAAATTATATTATTAAGACTGCAAAATAAAAATTAGAGTCTAGTTATACCAAAGTTATTAGAGAAAATAATTAAATTCATAATTTGAACTTTTCACAATAAATGAAATAGAAACATGTTTTATTTGAAAGGTTGAATTGTGTTATCCTAATTTTGATATTATCATTTACTAAAGATAATATAATCTATGCTTTAAATAATATTTGTTAAGATCTTAAAATAGATGTATTTTTAATTATTATTTTAGAATCAAATTTTAATTTAGTAACTATCATAATAGATTTTTAAGAAGGACATTGGTATATATATTTTATAATTAGATATGTTGATTTTATTTAAATTGAAAGATTTTGAATCTGACATTGAATTATTATATGCTAGTGTCAATTGTATCTAGGAATTAAATAAAAAAGGAATTAAACTGTAAATTTTTTATTAAAAATTTAGCACCGAATCTCTAAAGTTTTTAAAAGAACTTAATAAAATAGGAATGGATAATGAATTATCTTAGTTGATATAATAATTAGAATGAGAATATTAAAGTTTTAAATATATAATTATAAATTATTTTCCAATACATAATTATTTTGTTAAATTTCTTTTTAATTTTCGATCAAATGTTTAGAATTCATTATATATATTTTAAAATAAATATAAAAAAGTAGTAAAAAAACAGAGAGAAATTTTCATTCAGAATTTTGAAATTATGATTAAAGAAATGAGTAAGTAAATTTAAGAAAATAATTCTAGACATTTTGAGATACTAAAAGACTAGAAATTCAGATTTTAAGCTTAAAAATCAATTAGATAAGCTTCTTCATAAACTTTTTGACTTTGTATTACAAAATAATTCTTTTTAGAAGTTAATTTTGTACTTGAAAAGTAAATTTTTTTTCTTTTTGATTATTTATTATTATGATATCTTAATTATATCAAACAACATCTCAAATGCTAATGATATAAGATAAGATTCAAAAAGTAATCCAAATTCTATTTTTAGTGTTGAAGATATTTTGTATTAATTTTTATGGATAATTATAAATCAGATTGTACTCAGAAAAATAAAATCTTTTAATATGAATTTTGAATATTGAAATATAAATAATTAAAAATACACAATAATGATAAATGTGCTTTTATTGTCAATTTTCTATATGGCATATTCTTAAAGAGGATAGGCTATCTGCAATCAAGAAATATATCTAGATGTTGATGTAGATGAAGAAATAATTGATCATACCAAACTAAATAACAACACAGATATTGTATTAACAACTTCAAAATTTTTGTTGTTGGATGCTAAATTGAATATTTTGAATACTTATACAACACCAAATAATGAATCTCATACATGTAATTTAGTTTCTGATCATCCACTTTAAAACTTGTTCTTTTTAGCTTGTCAAGCTGCAGGAATGGCTCCATTTTTAGTAGCTTACAAATAAATTGAAAATAGTTCATATTCTGTATTTGGTGAGTATTAAGCAATTCCCACTATTTCAGAAAGTTTTAGTAAATTTGCAATAGTAGGAAATACTTTAATTATCCCATAGAAAAAAAAAATAGTTTTTTTCACTACAGTAATTTAAGCATCATCTTGGTACATTCGAACAACATCATATGTATTGGATGCCCAATTTTTTAATTCAACAAATTTGAATATATCAGATTTTAGTTTATCACCATTTTAATAAGATTAACAAGATTATTAGAGAATATTAGTCTTAGATTATGAACTTGGTGTATTTTGGGCTGATGCAATATAAAGATCGAATAATTTAATTCCATTTAATAATGGAATCATTAATGTAAAATCTAGCTATTATATTCCTTATTCAGCTAGATTTAGATAAGTAGCTTAACTAAAAGCATCTTAAAATATGACATAATTTGTTTTATAGACTTATGCTGATAGTAGTTATTAATTTGAATATTTATTAAATAACTCTTATCTTAGTTTATCTACAACATTAAGTAAATATAAGGATTGGAATCCATTTTCTTCAATAAGAATTAATAATAATATTTTTGCAATTCCATATTAGAATTATTAACATACTGTTGTGATTTAATTATTTAATATTGCAGTCAAATAAAATGATTAAGAAAATAACTTAAAATAAGAACCAACAGATTTACTTATTTCAGCATCAATAGAAAGTCTGATTTTGTATTTTAATTCGAATAATACATTGGTATATAGGAGTGATTTTGATTCACTAACATTATGTACTTTGTCAAACTATAAAGTAGAATGATAATAATTACAAAGAATGCACATAATAAATATAATAGATAAATTTATAAATATTAAATATAATTTTATATGAATGCCTCATTTGAATAAATAAATAGATCCCCATTAAATAAATCAATATCCAAAGCATTGTATTCATTTCCAAAAGCTAATCGTTTTAAAGAGTTTAAGGATAAACCGTAACAACAGGCAGTTTATAATTAGATGTCCCAATATATATAATATTCCTTCAATGATGAGTAAACGTAGTGCTGGAATAGGATATGGATAGAAATTAAATTTTTAATAAGAAAGTATAAATCCAGGACCTAATAATTATGAGATAAAGACTACTCTTAATGTAACTAATGGTTGGACTATGCCAGTTGGAAGAGATGTAGATATAAAAACTATTCATCTTAGAAAAGTAATAAATATGAAGGTATTTTCATTGGACTAATATAAAAAACACCAGGACCTGGAGAATATGAATCTCAAAATACAAGATCTCCTATTAAATATACAATAAGAATGAGAACAGAGAGTTAAAAAGATAAAGATAAAAAACCAGGACCGTATTATTTTATATATTTTTAGAGGTTAATATGATTTACCTTCAGCATTAAATGAAACAGGAAAATATAAAATTAGTAAATTTAGAGAGTATAATTATTAATAATAATCTAGTTCTGGAGCTATTATACTTTCTCCTTAAAAATCAAAAAGTTTTCGTTTTTCACCAGCTAAAGATCCTTCACCAGGACCTGGAGATTATGCTCATTTAGGAGATATTGATCCAAAAGGCTTATATTATTGTTCCAAATTTGTAGATATTAAATCAACAATCTTTACAAAAACAAAGAGAGAATTGACTAAAATTAGAGCTGAATCTCCTGGTCCTGGAGCATATAGATTGCCTTCAGAATTTGGGTATTTAAATATATTATATTAGTCACTATGAAAAACCGAATAAATGATTTTATTATAATTTTGGCATCGTCTTTCTTTACGGTTCTATACGCAATCTCTATAATTAAGTTAATTAATTAAGGCCGTTAGTTTTGGTCTTTTTTTGTGATAGACTTTATGCAAACTTTGAAATTCTCTATTTGTTGTCTGTTCTGGAAATACGAAACTTAAGTTCTTGAGTTCTCTTAATCATTTTCTTGGGTACCTCCTAAAATCACGCATTAAAGTATCTTTGTTCTTAAATGTTCCTTGAGTGGATTACAATCTCTTCATCAACTTTTAATTTTCATCTACTATTTTCATAGCTTCTTTTTTCCTCTTTGGTAAATTCAATGATCTTATAGAACTTGCTGAATGTTATCTAGTAGATGGTTTAATTTTAATAATTCTATCTAGTATTTTGCTATTTTCTTAATACAAAACTTTATCTTTCATTTGTTAAATAGATGCTTTACTATTATATTGATTAAACTTAATTTTCTGTAATTTATTTGAATCCATATGAAATTACTAATATTGTGTAATTATACCTTTTTTGATGAACTTCTATCACTAGCTATCATCTAAACTCTATCTCGATGAGACTTGAATCTTTGATATTAACAAATGGAATTGATTATATTTTGCTCTATGTATTTTGGAGCAATCATTATAAATATATTTATATTATAATCATTAATAGTAATCATAATCTTTAATAGTATTGAATTATGAATTTAAATTTTTAGAAACATATCCTTATTTCCTAATTTTCATTTAGTTCAGCTAAGAAATTTCTTGTATTATATTTACTGTATTTTCTATTGTAACATAATTTGGATCAATGAAAAGATATTTTTCAGTAGTATTATGATGTAAAGACATTTAAGATTTTCGTTTGGTTTTAAATTAGAACTTGACTTTATTTTTTAAGAGAAAATAAAGTTTTATACGAGATCTACATTTTGTAAAGTAATTAATAATTCTTTTTGCTTTTTAATTTTATCTACTTATATGTAAAAAGTGTTCATTTAATCTTAGCAATTCAAAAACTTTAAAAAGGATCAAACTTTCTTAAGTACTTTATTATATATTGAAATCAGCACCATCATATTATTATTCATCAATTTAAGTTAAACAAAAATCAATACCTTTTTTAAATTATAAAGAATCGTAATCTATAATTTTATTGTTAGTTTTAATTTTACTGATTGCTGATCTATCAATTAATGCAGTAGTATAATCTTAGAACCTCTCCCATTAAAATGAAAATGCTTAGAATATATTTTATAATGTAATAATAGGTTCTCTTTCTAACCATTTGCTTTGAAATCTAAACATCTAATAATGCTAATTAATATTTACATCATCAATATATTTAACTATATCAACTAAACCAGATATAAATTTTTAAAGTAATTCATATCTAATTTAATCCAGACTAAATCCACAACCTAATCCTAATTCTTTAATATAGGTATAGAATTCTTCTAAATGAGAGTTTTTTGACCTAAGCAATTCAACATTCTTTAGAAATTGAGTATGATTATGTTGATTATCAAAGAAGTCTTGTTTTAGAGTAAATATTGAAATAACCTTACGTTTATCAATTTCAATTTACTTTATATCATACATTTCATCTTAATATTAAAATTCTTCCTCCAATGATTCTATTGATAATTATAATTAATCTTCCTTCTCTAAAGGGGATTATATCAATTCATCATTTACTCTTTATTTTCTATCAATTTTCATAGTATGTAATGTAATTTAATTAAAACGTTCAATTTAGGGAGGCTCATCAATAGAATCAAGACAATCAAAATATTCATCTTACTCTGGAATATCAAAATCAATATCATGCTCTTAACGAAAATACTCATTTTAATCCAAATCTTATTTTATATATTCTTAAACAATGTCTAAATCCATATATTTAGAATCTGTACTAAATTTTCTTTACTATTACATAAATCAAAAAAAAATAAAAAATATAATTTATTCAGAATCTCTTAAGTGTAATTTATTGTTCTTTTATAAATGAATAATTAATAAAGAGATTTTGAATAGTTTCTTATCTTAATAAGACAGAATTCTCTTAAATTTCTTAATCTAATGAATCATGTTCTGATGAAATTTCTCTAACATAACTTTACTCACAAGACTTAATAATTTTAAAAGGAGAAGGCAATTATTTATCATATAAATTCTTCCATGGAAATCCTTCAAACCATTAATGAGAACAGATTTAGTCAGTTCCTCTTGATCCAATTCTAATTTAAGGTTTTCTAGACAATAATTAATTTGTAAGATCAGCTGCTTCTAATGACCAACCTAAAGGTAAATCATTTTTTTTTAAATGTATTTATTTAGATATAATAGCATCTCTTATATCTTTTCTAGTTTTTCCAAGATAAGGTCTCTTACCCATCATAAATTCATACATCATAACACCCAATGCAAAATGATCAACTCCTATATTATGATTTTATTTAAACATAACTTCTGGAGCTATTAAACTATTTCAAATATAATACCCATATAACCAGGAGTGCCACTTGTTTCTTATGAATTTTCAGGTTTTATAATTCTTGCAATACCAAAATCAGTAAGTCTTGGGTATCCATTCTTATCTAATACAATATTCTCAGGTTTTATATCTCTATGAATTATCCCATTAGAATGTAAGTATTCCAAAGCTAAAAGAATACTTCCAATTATAAATTCTATTTTTAATTGAAATCTATATTACTTGTATGTTATTCACTAAATCTTCTCATTTTACCAATATGATATCTCAGATCTCCTCCAGTTAATAAATCCATTACTAAATATAAATGTTCTCTATCCTAAAAAGCATAATGAATATTTGCTATAAAAGGATGTTTTAATTGACATAATAATAAACGTTCATTCATTACAGAATTTACAGATTTCTTAGCCATTACCCTATTCTAATTATATATTTTACTTTGCTTTACTCATTTCCTTCATTGCATACAATTTACGTGCTTTTATTAATTCAACTTTCCAAACTTTCCCAAATCCCCCTTTTCCAAGTATATAATGATATTTAAAACTGTTTCTATTAATTTCAATATCTGTTGATGCCTATTATACTATTCGAGTATCTTCTATTAATCTTGATGTTGGTCTAGAGTATATAGAGTTTCTAATAATTCTCCTTTCTTTTGATTTAGGATGCTGAATCAACACTTTTTCAACAGCACCTAATTATAATTAAATAGGCTTTCGAGTTATTGAATATAGTTAAGGACTAATACTTTTCCTTTAACTTTTTGAATCTGGACTTTTATCTTTATTAGAAATTAAAGATTAATCATTTTAAAAGCAAATATTTGTTTTCCACATTGCTTTTTACTCTCTCGGAGAAGATGGTGTTGAAACAGGCTGAGCTTTTTTAAATGATGGTATTCTTGATTATCTAGATGTCAAAATTGGTTGATTAGCATTTATTCGGTATACTCCACTATCCAAAACAAAATTTTGTAAAAGATTTCGTTAACAAAAGGAATTATTCATTTAAGTATATATATTATTTAAATTATGAAATCATATGTTAAACCATAGTAAATTAAGTTATCATTAGATAGTCTACCTTTTTATCCTCATTTTTCTTATCAAAACAGATTGAGTTCTTGTTGATATCATTGATTATTTTTCTTATGAACTCATTAATTAATATAAACTATTGGTTCTTAGTCTTTCTAATCTTTACTCCTATTATTTCAAGTTTTAATAGTAAATAGATTTTTAGAAATTTTCTGAGAATTGATTTCTTAATTTACGACTTGTTTTACTACGACTTGTGTCCTAAGGCAACTCTTTTGTCGTCATAGTAAAATTATAATTATCGCTTGATTTTACTGGCAACCTTCTTTTCTTAGGACTTTTAAAACCAGATATTGGAGATGAAAGTTTTCTTCTTTTTGGTAGCCTTTTTAATTAATCAAAAAAGGCCTATTCCTTAAAAATCTTTTTATATCTCAAAATGATTCTCACTCCCCAAATTATTTATTTCCATTTATTCATAATAGTTTATCTTTTATTATGATTTGTACAAAAATAAGGGAGTGATAACATTACCAATTATGCATTATTATTTAATGTACCTTCTCCAAGAGATTCAGAACTTTTTCCTCTTTTATTAAATTTGAACCTTTTTTATATCACTTTTGTACAATAAATATTTAGATTTTTCTTCATTTAATGCTACTAATTCTACAAAGTGCTACTTCTAAGAAGTCATTAATAATTATGGCTGAATTCTAACTGTTCTTCTTCTACCCATCTAAACTTTCTTAGATATCTTAAAACCACTGGCTTTCTCGAATCGACGAATCTGATAGTTTTCCATATCATTTCTGTATACGGTTGGAAGATTTCTATAGTGAATCATTAAAGTAATTAAAAATAAGTCATTAAATAAGCAAACTAAAAGAAACTTTTATGTTTTTATTTAAGAAACACTATTTGGCAGATTTCAAAAGCTCTTTCTTAGAATGTTCATAAATTCTATGATGATCTCTCTCATGTGTCAATCTAATTATTTCATCATTTTTTGGTTTTATGCATTTAATATCTTAAATTATTTCCATACTATTTCTGATTTTCTCCTTAACTCTCTCAGTCACAGCTTAATCTATTGTAAGTTTTCTCTTTTCAACTCTTTCAATAGGAGGTTTATTTTAGAATTTATATTCTGGATTTTATTATTTCTAAATAGCCAATTTAATCCAAGTAATCATTTAAGTAGATTTAATTCTTTCTTTTCTTGACTGATGTTTGATTACTTATTTAGATGTATCGATTGGTGTAGGAATCTCAAAAAAAAAGTGATGATTTTATAAAACTTTATTAAGAATCTCTTCAACACTTTATAAATACATTCTATCAATTATTACACATTCTAACTTTTGTTATTTTAGATAATTATTTTAAGATTCTGTCTATTATTTATTTGATCTTATAACAAAAGGGAAATCAACTATTTTTGACAATATATTTTGATCTATCTGAAATTACTATTAAGGATAATTATTTATCAATTATTGTATACCATTTCTACTAATATTCAAAATTGAATCATTTCTTTGATTACCTGTCATACTCATCTCATGTAACTCTTTTGCTATATCTATTTCATGATTCAAAAAACATAATTTCCCCAATTCTTCATAACATCTTAATTCCTCATCTTTATTTTACATGAACCATGCAAATTCTATCGACTCTATTATTATTAATTATATACTTTTTTTATAAAGATTTTTCCAATTTCATACTTTTATAATTATTTGCATATTATACCTAAGTGTAGTAATGCCCATTATATTGTTTCGAAATCTCTAGCAAACTCGCTTAAAAATATGGCATTTTTTGCATAGATAATAGATTTGTCATACTCTTTAAAATGTTATAATGTTAGTGATGCAACTTTAAATATTCTAATCAACAAACACAAGTTATCAGAATCAACAGTTACAATCATCATATTAATTAATATTTTAAGTGCTTATTAACAATCATCATTCTTTATAGCTTCAAAATATTGCTATTAAAATTAACTCACAGGACTATGTGATCTTATTGTTAAAGGAGTTAAATCAGATTTTTTAGTATGATGTGACAATCTCGATTGACTTTGATTATTCAATCTTCTACGAGTTAAAGTTTTTGTTGATTAATGAGATGTGTTTCTAGCTGAGGAAAGAAGACTTTCTTAACTTATTGAAGGCAACATTATTGGATAAAAGTTCACTATTGAATTAGATTTATTAAGTCCTTCTCTTTATGTTCCTTAATAATCGATATATTAGATTAATTCATTCAACCCTTGAGAATGAGAAGATGAATATCTGTTTCTCATTTATAAATTAAATTATTCACTAATCAATTTAGTTAAACTCTATGATCATTATACTAATTCTTAATTATTTCCATCCCAGTATAATGTATTACAAATTCTTATTCTTTTGTTGTTTCATTTAATATTGATTATAAGATATAAATTTCTAATTCATTAATTTTGTCTTCTATTTCTTAGAGAATCTGTCTATATATATTTATATTCACTTTAAATACTAAAATTTATTTTCAAGATGATATTAAATTAAATAAAAAGTTTAGATCTGTCTAACCTTTCCCATTTTCATTTATTTAATAACCATCAAAAATGGCTAACTAAACTTAATAACAAAACAATAATTCAAACTAATAAATCTTGAATGGTCTTGATGATCAATTACCCATATTGTCCTTCTTAAAAAGACCTAAAAATAAAAATCTTAAACAGTCACTCAATAGTAAATAATATGATTAATAAGTAATCATTCATCATAATTTAGAATTGTGAATACTAAATAGAAGTAATTAACCACAAAATTATTGATAAACAATTCACAATCTATTAAATTAAAGTGACATATGGATCATTATATTGGATTTTTTAAACCCGATATAGTCTTCTAGAAGGACTTCATTCAAAGTTGAATAAAGAGGTGATAAAACAACTTGCCAAATTTCCTGAAAAACGACTCTTTGGTAACATGGATCACAACTTTGTTCAAAAAAGAAAAAATGAAATTCATTAATACCTAAAAGTACGCACTATTTTTATTCTAGAGCTTAATCTAATATGGAAAGAATGAAAAGCCTGTTAAGGATTTCATAAAGTAATCTTAAAAAGCCGCGATCGAAATCAACGATCCCTGTGAATTGAAACATTTTAAATTAGACTTATGAATTAACAGAATATCCATATATTATAATAAATCATAAGAATTTTTTATATATTTTTAACTCCTAAGGCATCGCTCCTACACTTTAGTCACTTTTTTCTATTTATTTACCATAATTGCTATTATTAGAATATCTGTGACTTGCATTTTAATAAGAACTAGTTTTTCTATGTTGAGAAGGAGTAGATAATCCTAATACTTCTTATTACAATTTTTGCATAACCTTAATTGATTAAACTAACTCTCCTTCATTATTTCCAATTCTAGAAGTTAAAACCTTTAGTTTAGTATATACTGCTTGTGGATCAATTTATTTACTATTTAAAGCATTTAAAACATCTCTTTCCAATTATTCAACATTCTTTTAAACCATTTAAAAATATGATTGAATTATTGAAACAGATGCATTTTCTTCAATATCTTAAATTAAACCATTAGAACCTCTCTTGTTCCTTGAATTATCCGAAGTTTAATTAGACGAATTTTAACAATCTTTAGATATTTCTTTCAAAAATTAATTTTCTTTTTCTTTATTTAATTCTGCTACACCTTTTTATTTATCATCAAATAAAATTTATTTATTATTCCCATTATATTTATCAACCATTTTAATCTAATGTTAAAATTATTGATGATAAACACTCTCCAGATTATTTAAAATATTTTTTTTATTCTGTTGTGGAAATACATCAGATTAATTTGAATTTATAGAATTCTATTAATGTTCTTAAACATAGATGTTTGTATTAGTATTTTATGTTTTTTGCTTTTATTTTTGTTACACTTCTGAATTCTTAATATCTGTTTATTAAAAGAGTAATTATGTAGATGTTGTCGTTGGTGTAGCAACAGGAGTATTAGGATTGGGCTTTAAAAAATCATTTAATTTTTACTATTAAACATTTGATGTGTTTGCTTATGTTTTGGCCTTACCTGTAAAATAATTTTTTTATTACATTCTACAGCAATTTCTTGATGAGCAATTTAATATGATTATTTTTTTTAGTGATTCTATTGCATAGGCTTCTAAAATTATTTTGTTGGGGATGTTTTTTCATTTCCAATAATCGGTTTCTTTTTATTGAACTAATTGTGATTAAAAGCATTTTAAGGATTGTTGTTAATAGCCTATACATTTAAAATTTATGAGTTCTTCGAAACAATTTCTGACATTTAATAAGCATTAGATTCTCTTCGACCAAAAATAGCCTCCTATTAATTTTTTTACAATGAGAATTAACTCTGTTATTTATAAGCTAAAACAATTACTTCGTTTAAGACTTCCATTTGCATATCACTAGAATCAGTTATCAAATATAATTCATTGCTCTCTAATAATAAATTTATAATATCATAAGTATGTGTCATTTTGTTGCATTTTGGACATTAAATCCTATATTTATTTTGTATTTGACTATTTGTTGATTAATTGGTTACCTAGTGTTTTCTTATATCTAAATCTTTATTCCACATTTTAAACAAAGCGAATGTGAGCAAATTAACTTTATAGGGTTCTAACTCGTAGTTTTACATAGTTGACAAAGTTACATAGTGTTTTAGCTTTTATTTAGCATTAACTGATTATTATTATATTTAAAATTAATAGAGTATTTTATCAAATATCATTTCTTCTCTTTCTTGCCTTTTAATAAATAAATTATTTAATTCTAATTCATGATATTTTATTGAATGACCTTTTCTTCTTTTATCTATTCAATAAATGTTTTCATTAAAGGTTTTGTTTTAGTAAATTATTGGCACTAGAACTAAGCGACTTAATATAAAATTTAAATATGTAACAAATATATTATCATTTAACAAATTGTTTGCCATTTGTATTGTATTTAATACTGTTAAAATTAAAAAATAGATCTGATCTCATAGTTATAGTTAACTTTCCTTTAAAAAGGTTTCTCAACTTATTCCAACTTATCAATAAATAGAATTAATAAATTGAAACCTAAATTAATCCAAATTTAATAAAAAATCAATTTAAAAAATAAATAATGAATTTTCTACTCTTCTCAATGTAGAATTAGATAATTAGAATAAGAAATGAATAATTTGAGTAGAAGAGATTAAAAAAATAATACTTGCAATAAAGATGTTTTATAATACATTTTAAAATTTTATTTATGAATTAGAAATTATTATTCTTAATGAAGCTCAAGTTTTAAATATTTAAGTTATATAATTTAGCTCCAATGACTCACTGGTCAATAATTTAAAGATTTTAGTGTTTAAAATCTAAATTAAAGTTTAAAATAAAGGAGATGTTTACTAAGGATAAACTATTTATGGGACCAAGAGAAGAATGACCTTAATTATAAGATGATATATTATTGGATTATGAAATAATTTATAGAATGAGGGTATTTAAGATGACAATATTAGTTTTTAGAAAATATTTAGACCAAAGAAAAATTAGCTTATTCATTTCTGATAGTAATTTCTAAACTCATTTCTAAACTGATCATACATAGCAACTAAAAATTTTTTTAAAATTTTGTCTGCTTATTCATTTTTTGTTAGTTTTTGATAAATATGCTAATTA